TAGGAATGGCAGGCATCCTTCAAAAGTACGGAGCTTTCCTCGCAAAATAAATCAAGATACTACGGCCCAAAAAGAGAGCAGTAATCCAAAAACTCACTAAGTCCTAGCATCCGTAATTAGTAACGTTTAGCATAAACTTTATTGCCAGGCTGTTGCTTAATCGCCATCGGCTATAAAAGGCTGTAAGAAATTGTGTGGCCGGCTATAGAAGCTATTGGAAATCTTACAGCCGGCTGTAGGTCTATGATATTTTGGAACACAGATTCTACTGCCAATTTTTACCAGGGGAAAGTACCATGAAACTAGAGGAATCCACACAGACGTTCTCCTGTAAAAAATACCCTGTCCGAGGGAATTTGGCAATCTTCAATTATGTCCCTCGGCTTCCTTTCGCTACATGCCGCCCAATTTAGCGCATCGATGAGATTCAGCGAGATTCTCCATCGAAGGGTTTAGCGCTAAAGGACTCAAGCGCCGAAACCTCGTGGCCCTTGAGAGTCGTTTGAGGCAAAGGGAGCTGAGGATCACGAGGATTTGGCTCTCGGGCCCTTCCGTAAATTAACGGTTTCATTATGTTCGTCCCGAATGGACCCTTCGTCGTCCACGTTAGAGCGCATCTCAACTTCCATGTGAGCCCTGTGCTCTATATAACTCTATACTTTCCAGGGCTCATGCGAAAATAGAGATAGGTCAATGGAGCGATATCTTACGCGAGTGCGACATTGCGTGCGAAGCGCAACACGTCCCTTCCCTACCATGCTAAGGAAGAACGCCGTAAGAACATTCGAGAGTTGCCAAATTTCTCTCGATAAAATATGTTTTGTCGACAACATTCATGCATATTTTTCCTCGAAATTTTCAGATATTTTCGATTAAATTGCGTAAAAAATTGTCTGCAAATTTTGGAAACTAGTATCCGCAATTTTCTCGGTAAATCTGGTTTTTTATCGGAGAGAACTTGGCAACGTCCGAAGGCTCATACGGCGTTCTTCCTCAGCGCGGCAGTTTGGTGCGCCCAAACTCGAAGTTGGGATGAATTTCTAGCTTGGGAGAGCCCGAAGGCTGTTAATTGGATAATGGCGGGGTCATCGTATCGTCTGTTGCTCCGTCCGTCTGACCACCGCATCTTGCCCAGACTCAACCGTGTTCGGGTTGGAGATAATCCGTCACCCAGCGCAGCGGCCTCACCGCACGTCCTGCAGTTGTCAGTTTCCAACGAATCGGCTCTAGCGCCAAATCGAATGAAATGAGTTCTTGCATGCATCAGGATTTTCGATTTGATCACGGAATCCTACCTAGAATTGGATTGAAGGTAGCAAACGGGGCCCCAGCGGCTCGAGATATAGGTAGTATGGAGCGATCCTATTGGTTGAAATGGGTGGTTCCTATAGACTAAGGGGTTAAATGATGGACTACCTGGAGGGTCTCCCGTGGGTAGCCGTTAGTTAGTCTATTCCTTTCCTCCTATGTCCATTGCAACCACCCGCTTCCTCCAACAGGATCCCTCCAAATCCCTTTTGTCTTCTTTGTCTATAGCTTTGTCTATCAATTTCAATAATCGGCCCGCAGGTAGCGCAGGTTGAGGCTGCACTACGTTGCAAATTGCATGCTTAAAGTATTCCTATTTGCATCGTAGTGTTGCGTCTGTTGCCTATCCACTAATTGAAGGGGCATCTCTCATCGAGGTTTATCACCGTCAAATTGAAATAAATTGCGCTTTATTTTTTTAAATTTTAAAGTGAGGGGCTCGGAGGACAAGGCGTATAAGTGCAGTTGTTGAAAAAAATTGATGTATCAATGATTTCAAGTAAGACTATAGTCTTAATGCATATTCCGTGAAAAATTCGCTCTTTGGCTTTTGGCTCTTCACTGGAAAAAAAACCACATTGGATCTAGAGTCCAGACTCTTAAAAACACCGACAAGATAAAATACTCTTGATTCAATCAGATTTAAGCTTAAATCAAAGGAAATCCGCTCAAATTAAGAGGCTCGGTTCTTGATTTAAGCTTAAATCTGATCGAATCAAGAGTATTTTATCTTGTCGGTGTTTTTAAGAGTCTGGACTCTAGATCCAATGTGTTTTTTTCCCCAGTGTTCCAAAATATCGATTGTGATGACTGCATCCTAAAACACCTTGAACGTGACGATACACGGAACTGAAAGCTGAGGATCCACCTTAAATTAGGTGAAGATAATATCACGCTTCGCGATTTTTCTCCTTGTTTCAAATCCTTAGCGAAGAAGCAGCCGGCTTTTGACGACGAAGCTCCTGACATTTCTACTAACGACGGTATTGACATTTCGAGTGCTCAGCAAAGGCAGAGTCGCCCCCCCCTCCCACCCCCTTCGCGCTCGTTATCATCGTATTCAGATATGCCTTTCGGAATACGTGCGCCCGAGCCGATCGGTAGGGAAAAGGTAAATGCCGTTAGTAAGGAGAGGGGTTCGCGGAGAGGGTACCGGAGAGCTAGCCCCGATCCCTGATTCTACAACAAGACTCGCGGAGGCAGCGCTGAGTATGGAGCAAAGTTTCCGGGAAAATCCCTTCCTTAAACGCTTGAAAAATGGGACACGGAGAAAAGCGGAATTAGAATGCGACGTTTGGGCGATGCGCGGGAAAGAGAAACCGACTTTTCGTCGCTCCGCTGACGTAAGGGCGTATCTCGATTTCCGCGTGAACCCTCAATAGCGTGGATTTACATGGGAAACAGGGCTCACGTGAAAATCGAGTTACGTCCTTACGTTAGAGAGACAACGTTTTATGGGAAAGGCGGATTCTGCTCGTTGGGCGAGATTGGCCGAATTTATTCACGTTGGGATTCTTTCTAAATTTTTCTTTAATATTAACTTCCAAGCTCAAAAAAGTGGAGACCGTAATAGGTACTGCCGTGGTAAAGAAACACGCCTTATGAACCTTCAGGCCAAATTACACGGATCCTTACGGCGGACTAAAAGTTCAAATTTACTTTTTCTGCTTAGAAATTGGACTTTGGGAGCGAATTTTTCACAGAATATGCATTATGACTAGTTTTACTCAAAATCTTTAATATCTCAATTTTTTCAAAAACTGCACCGATGTGCCTTTTCCTCCAAGTCTCTCAAGTATGCATTACTTTTCTCAAAAATAGATATTTTATGGGATAGAATTTAATAACATTCGAATGGTCATACGGTGTTTTTACACAACACTACAACACGGCAGAGTAATCTCTTACTCCCCGGGTAGCTATCCATGCATAACTTTTCTCAAAAATAGATTTTTTATGGGATAGAATTTGGTAGGTAACATTCGAATGGTTATACGGTGTTTTTACACAACACTACAACACGGCAGAGTAATCTCCTACTCTCTAAGGGTAGCTATCCAAAGACACGCATCATCGTAAATTTCGTCCTGTGCAACCGTGCGGAAAGCACGAGAGTGACACCAGTCCGAAAACTCGGCCAATTTCCGTTTGGAGCGTGCCCCGTGCGCGCAAATTACCAAGTCAAAAGAGATGACATTGAATAAACCGGACGTATTTATGCTAAAAGGAACTATGTTACAACGCAAACCCTATGCACATAGTTCCTTTTACCACAAATACGCCCAACGTTGCAGTGCGGCAACGGTATTCTCGACTTTTGCATACGTCATCCTCGAAAGTTACCGAGCGAAATGAGTCCGAAAGTCGTAAAAAAAAATGATAGTGCGCGGAAAAAAATTTCATTGAATACATTCCAGCCCAGTCGTCTGAATTCATAGAGTACATAGAGTCGTAATGTAAGTGGGAGAGCTGGCGCCATGTTAGCTCGACGAGTTCCGAGCCGTGTGCGGGGTCACTTTTTCGATACATATTCGATCCAAAATGGCGGTGTGGAATATTGCCGGGTTCTCGTGTATCGCAAACAATCGATTATGTATCGAAAAAGGGACCCGGCCGGCGCCGCACAGGAATCTCGGAATTTGGGACCTGGAAAATGCTTAAAAGTGGCGCCAGCTCTCCCACTTTCATTACGACTCTATGTACTCTATGTCTGAATTACGTTAATTCTCAGTCAGAAATGTTATTTTCTTCTTTTTTTTCTCCTTACCTAGGAGGGGGTATTAGGGATTTTTGATTCTTGGTGAAACCGACGCATAGGAAAACCTTATTTTTTGTTGCTTGTATGTTTTGATTGTTATAATGAAGTTTCTGCGAGAGGCGAGGATTTCTGGTTTCATAAACTATTTCTATGAACAATTTTCCGGGGCACGATGGTGCCATTGATTTAGTCCAAAAATGGATGGCCAAACTTAAAAAAAAAAAAAAACTATTCAAATGTGTAGGAGAGTTGACGTCTATATACCGTCGAATCCTCCGTTCGGAGGTATGCCAGCAGGGTTGCCACTCTGTATGAGGCTGTGGGATGGGAACTCCACGTGTTGAGAAGGTAATTTTTAGCCTCGAATCATTGCAATCTTTCTAATGTGTACAGCGTTATCTTTGCACAGAGACCTTGGCTGAATACGGAGCAGGTGGGCTCTCCTATACCCCATGACGCAATGCTCCTTCAATAGGACCCAAATATCGCCCACTAGACAGGGCGATGAATTGAGCAACGAGTAAAACATGTCTTTACGTAAAAAAATTACGCACCTTACAATGAACTTTTTGAAAATTTCCAAATGCAATTCCCATGAGAATGAGAATAATCTTTGAAGAAAGCTCATTTGGACTTCTCGCTTTTTTTTTTATTTTTTTATTTTTTTTTTTTTTGCGAAATTTGATTTCGCTCGTACGGTCTAACTGTAAAAATGGAAGGCAAAAAAATCATGAAGTAAAGTGATGAGAGCTGATGTATGAAAAATAGGTATCCAAGTCAATTTCAGGTGACAATAATCTGAAAGCATCTAATTCTTTCGCCCCAGATCAAATGGGTTGCATCCTGAAGGAGGAACAATTTGTCGGGAGTTTGGGATGGCGCCGACGGCGTTTAAAATGTAGGAAGCAACGCGTGACCTTGTGAATTTACTTACAAATCGTCGCGAGACGGGTTCGTTCAGGAGAAGTCCTGCCATTATGAGAATATTGAGGAAAACGTAGCTGAATAAGGTCAAATCAATGATCTGATTCCTGAAAACGCTGTGTGACCCAAAATATTGTCCTATCACCAGTACGATACTGATAAATGTCAGCGCCTGGAAAAAGAATCAATAATCGAATTATTCAAAACTATCAGATTTTTGTAAGTTCTCAACACGTCTAATAAGTGGACCGCGTTTAACAGAAAGGAACCAAGCCACATCAGCTATTGCCAAATTTTATCGGGCAATTTAATTTTTTACGAGAGAAAGTTTGTGTGGATTACTTTGAAAATTTTAAGGAATTACCTTGGTACTAGAGAGAAAATTCACCGAAATTTGCACGAAAATCTGCACAACCGTTTTCATGTACAAAATTAAATTGCCGTATTAAAGTTGGCAACAGCTGATGTGGCTCGGTTCCTTTCTGTTTAACGCGGTCCAAGTATCTTGAAATTCACTTGGTTGAGAAAAGAAATAGATATAAATCGGCGTTTGAATGTAGTCAGCTGGTGGAACTTTAAAGTAGCCATCACCGCCGTTTTCAGGGGAATATTGGCAAGGAGTGCGGAAAAAGTAGCTCGGCAATATTGCGACAATATCATGCCTTCGTTGATTTCAAACCTTGCCGCAATTATTGCTCGCAAAAAATAATTTCAGTGATTGTATGAAGTCCATCAAGAAGCAATCTACCGTAGAGACCCTGCCCATAGGGTCCAGAAGCAATTTAAGTAATCGGTCCAGATAGAAGTCTAATCGGAAATGAACACTTTTTCTCACCCACTGATGATTGATTACCGATTTTTTGAGAATTTCATTATCCTAATGCTGTCTGATGAAATGTCTGATCGAGCAGTTTCCTAAGCAAGTTTGTCACAGAAGTCAATTTTAGAGTAGTTAATGTAATGCATTGTTCCTGATTCCATCAACTGGTGTTTTTGAGCAGATGTTGATGCATTTAATAGTCAGATATTCTTTGAGCTTCTACTTGTGACCAGCGGGCCGATTATTGAAATTTAAGCCAGCCCGATAAGGCATAGAATTGCGATATATTGCATGGTTGAGATAGGGCTATGTCTTGTAGTGTCGGGCTGACATAGTTTCAATAATCGGACCGCTGGGCACAGTGGATCGAGTCAATGGAAGAGGTCGGACAAAACTTGGAAACTTTAAACGCCTATAACTCCGTTTATACAAAATTTTGAGGTCCCAGAAGTGGCTTTATTGGTTTCCTCGTGAAATTTTCTTCGAGGAGCATCCCTTGCATTTCAAAATATGACGAAATAAACACCAAAATTCTCAGTTTCAGTCAAAAATTTCATGTCCGACCTCTCCAATCGACTCGATCCACTGTGCGGGGGTCCGGATTTATCGGCTATTTTATGCCAAAATGCAACATCCGTCCATGAGCTGAAACTGCATCGCCGGCCAATCAGAAGCCTTAGGATGGGCTGGAATGCAGTTGTGACTCATCGTAAACATTTTCAAGTACGCCCGTTTTTTCCGATGAATTTCGGCCACAGAATATTGAAAATGCAACTTCGATATCCTTTGGAAACCCCTAATTGTTCACCTCTTTATGATACATCAATAACACATGTCCCTGAAGGCATTGGATGATCAAACAGTTAGATCGACGAGTCGGTAGCACCTAATTTTATAGTATAAATTTTTAGTCACTTACCAATTCACCCGCTTTAAATGCAAAAGCCGGCGATTTTATGGTTTCCATGAGCATCTTGGAAATGTTTAATCCTACTCTTCGAGTCGAAACAGCACTTAAAAATGAGACTTCTCTTGGAAATTTTTTCACAACGTGAGAGTCAACACACACAAGGAATTCAAGAAAATCAGAAATCAGGTTTAAAGTCCCGATCGGGTTATTTTTACTTTCGGTTTCAAATTTTGCTGTGCCTGAAGAACTTGTACTCGGAAGACTGTCGAAGAACTTTTAGCAGAAGCGTGTCCGGGCGTGCGCTTTGTGTGTGGAAAAGTTGTGTCAGCTGTGTCCCTATCGTGAGCCAATTAATATCTCGTCAAACACTTGAATCTTTCTTGTAGATAAGACTTGTCGGACTATCTGAATTAATGACTCTTTATGCACTCTGCCGTGAAGTATCCTAAAAGTTCCCGCTCGGTCGTGGATACCTGCCGTGCTTTGCGATATATCGATTGTTATGCCATTTAAACCTATGAAAAAGGATCGATAAACAGGATGTTTTCAGCGAACACCATACTAATCGATTCTTTACCATAGCTTTAAATGGCAGAATCATCGATACATCGCAATTCGCGCCACGCCACTGGTGGGTATGTCTCTCTCGCTCTTCAAACAGGGCTTACGTTCCCTCGGAGTTGTCACACTGAGTCATTTTACACCAGAGCTCTGCCGTGCTAAGGAAAAATGTCGTACGAACCTCCGAGAGTTGCCAAATTTCTCCCGATCAAACAGTTCTTTTTAAGGAAAACGATGGATTTTTTTGCTTGACTTTTTGAGATATTTTATATTAAATTGCAAACAAAATTGTCTGAAAAATTTGAACAAAAATATGCAACATTTTCCCAGGAAAATTAGGTTTCATCGAGGGAAGTAAGGCAACGTCTGAAGGCTCATACGGCGTTCTTCCTTAGTACGGCAGAGCTGTCACATTTTTTTTAGGAATATCCTTCCTGATTTGGCAGCAATCTAAATTTTTTTCAGTCTTTGTTTTTTTTCTTCGTTTTTTGGGGGGGTTTTAGTTTATTTGGCACACCTGAAACGTACAAATCCAACTTTCTTACAATGAAAGGATAAAAATGATGACACGAATTAACTAAGGATCCAGAAGCAAGGATAAAATACGTAGGTGTATCGAGAATTATTGATGATCAGTTCGCGTTATCGCAGGTGACTTAGCCGGAAACAGACGGAAGGCATCCATTGGCATTGGGAACGTCTAATCTCTGGTTACTGCTATCTAGAGCTAACTTCCTGTTTACATGCTACTTTTTCTTCTTCTCCTTCTCGCAATAGGCCTCAACAAAATCCCGATCTTTTTGTGATTTTAGAATGATAGCCAAAAAATTATCGACGGTAAAGCTTGCGTAGGTCTTTGTCTCCTAGCGAGATCTCCATGATGGTATGCACTTGCGCGCTTCTTAAAAAACAGCAGGTCTCGGTGAGGTCTTTTACAAGAGATAGTTAATCTATACTATTTCTTGATTTCTCATCCCCTTAAATCGATAATCACCGAGCAGTTTATGCGATTTCTTCCGAAAGTTGATGAGGGCGGATACCAATCTGCGCAAGCAACGTCCACTATTGAATTTTTCTCACCTCGGAAACCATCTTAAAGTCGCTTGCAAAACACAATTGCGGTTTAGTTTGGCTTAGTTGCGCCAGTATTGCTTCAATTATCGTTAGTTGAAAGGTGGTGAATATCAGGGCATTTCGAAAAAAACTTGGCGACACGGCGTCGCGTCAAGTTAAAAGGGCTTTTAAATACGGCAAGTTGTTTAAGGAAACCAAAACGCCTTCATTTTTATGGATGCAACGTGGACTTCCTAAGAGCAATAATATTTGTATTAAGGCGTCAATATCGATATCGCGTCCCCGGCCTCAGTCGTTGCCAAATCGGAACCAAGAATGGAGATGTCGCATGTGTGAGGAATCTGCGATTTGACCATCTCTTATGTAAAAGTTTGCGAGAAACACGATGGTGCCACTGGTTTTCTCTGAAATTAACTCCCAAGCTCAAAAAAAGCTCTCAAGTTGAGCCCAAAATGGAGGGGATATCCAACGCTGTCCTGAGAGTCCACGTCTACATCAAGACAAAGTCTCCATGCAAAGATTAGGGAGCAAATAAATTAGCAGGGTTGCCGTGTTTACAGTTTTGGAGTCCCCAAATAAAGTGGCAGCCCTGTCAATGTATTTGCTCCCTATCTTTGCATGGAGAGTTTGTCTTGATGTAGAAGTGGACTCTCAGGATAGCGTGGAATATCCCCTCCATTTTGGCCTCAACTTAAGAGCTTTTTTTGAGCTCGGCGGAGTTGATTTCAGAGAAAACCAGTGGCACCATCGTGTTTCTCGCGAACTTTTACATAAAAACCAGTCGTCAAATCGCAAATTCCTCACACGTGCGACATCTCCTTTGGGTTAGTAGTCCTCGCCTGATTTAAAAAAAAAAAAAAAAAAAAAAAAAAAAAAAAAANAAAAAAAAAAAAAAAAAAAAAAAAAAAAAAAAAAAAAAAAAAAAAACTCGCCTAGTGACAGATACACTATATTTCAGAGATCCCGCATCGACGATCTGGGGCTTTGTCTCCAATGGGTCAGTTGCTGGTCACAGAACAGGAAACCAAGGTTGTCCAAATCGTGGTAGCTGACGTCAAAAACCCGTTTTTTTCACATGACGATAGGTATTTCAGTTTCATTAAACAGGCACCACCGTGTTTCTCGCGAACTTTTACATAAGAATCAATGGTCAAATCGCAAACTCCTCACACACGCAACATCTGCTTGTAACCAGTGGCAATTCTTTGACACATCAGTAGCAATGCTTACCCTCTCTTTAATTTTATGTAAAACTATCGATTTCCTAAACACTTTATATTTTACATAAATGAGCAAAATCTCGACTGTCCATAGCGGGTGTTCTCCCCTTTTTTTAAGCGCTGGCAACCACGGTTTGGCTTCGATTCGTCAGTCACAAATTGAAGCATTGTAGTTACCCATCTTAGAACTCGTGTCACAACGTGGATTTAAAGTGTCACTCAATGCGACAGACAATTACCGACTTAAAACAGCCATTCATCAGTCCCGCAGCAAGCAGTTAAGTTGTAACAAGTTTGCTCGTGCGGCAATCAAATTTTCAGATCGCCAAAAATGATTTACCCCGATCCTTGTCTTTGTAAAAAAAATCAATGTCTCCATCATTCTTATCAATCTTAAAGTTTCATCCAGAAACTTCATGTTCTCAAAGGTTCGCGTTTTCCTAAACAATGTCAACGAGCAAAGCGCAAGTCTCTTACGGGGATGCCTCAATTCATTTGCGGATCCAGCAAATTGGCAACAACGCTTTTTTCAGTTTGAACCTGTGGTCAATAATTTTAACTTCCGCCGCTGCGCCGACAGCTGTGTGTTGGCGCAATGCGTGAAGTATTCATGTAGTCTTGTAGGCGCTATGCGTTTCACGCCGACCGCTGCTGACCACACTGTTTGGCGCAATGCATGAATTATTCATGCAGTCTTGTAGGCGCTATGCGTTTCAGGCCGACTGCTGCTGACCGCAGTGTGTTTGACGCAATGCGTGAAGTATTTATGCAGTCTTGTAGGCGCTATGCGTTTTATGCCGACCGCCGTGCCGCTCCGTTCCAGGTCAAATTGCGTGTTTGGTTCCTCTCTTAACTCGACTAATTGGACGTATTTCTATCAAACGGAATTATGTACATTAGGACATGAGCCCTGAGACTCATAAGAATATGTGCATAACAGGGCTTACGTCATAATGCACATAGTTTCGTTTAATAGAAATTCGTTCAATTAAAGGTGTTGTCTCTTGTATCACCGAAAGACGACGAAAGTAGAAATTACTATACTTTTACTCTCAGGAAATGAGAGATTTTGTCGCCTTTTCTCGTTTGTAATTTATTTTCTGAATCCGATTTTTTTCTCTCTTTTTTTGATACCTACATTCAAAAAGATTGCAAAATTTGCCGCCATGGGCAGCGGCCCATGTGGCCACCCGCTTAATCCAGCCCTGTGTCTATCAGGCAATTATTACTTCCGTTCTTGGCAAATCGAAACTTTATAAATTTGTTTTCTTCGAAATTTTTTCTCTTTTTTTTCTCGTTTTTTTTTTTGGCTGTTAGGCGTAAAGCACTGTACATAAGTTCGTCAAAGCTAAACTTTTTGGACGGCTTTCGTTTTCAAAACTCTAGCAAGGCACTCTTTTACGCAGTGGTGCCAATACCTAAATTTTGAATTGTTTGGCATTGATGTCACTCTCCCCCTGGATGGTCACATTTCTGTTCTACCTTGTTATAACTGTTAAAATAATAATTTGAAGAATAAAGCAGAAATTTTGTCTATTTGTTTACTGTTGTTTAATGTGCAGAATTTTAATTTCATCGTTTACTGTTTTGCAGAAGAGAAAATCGCACTAAACTGGCTGTTGAATCAAAGATTGAAAGACTACAGTTGGGGCAATGGAGAAGATACTGCATTGACTCTACTAACACTCGAACTGACACGCACAGGTGACCCAGCACAGCGACAACTAACAGCCAAACAGCTTGAAATTGATTTGATTCTGCACCTCTGGCGACACCACGATGTTACTGCCACTCATCTGGCCAAAGAACGGACCTTGACTCCTGGAAAAATCGCCCTCTACTCTTTAGCCTTATCAGCAACATGCAACGATCCACGACAATTTCATGGACACGATTTAATAGGTAAGGAAATGAGGAATGGGCCTGTTGCAAACTTTTGCTTGAGCAAAAATAAGAGTTGTTTCCTATATATAATGCCTCAAAAATCACGATGTGCGCATCGGCAAAGTCTGAAATGCACTCATAACTTCACAATCTGCGTAAGAAATTTGCGTTTTTTTGAACTTCCCGCTTCAAAAACGATACTACGGCACAGGTGAACATTTTGTTAGAAGAGTCGCTCCATCGTCGGCAATATTCATCATGGCCGACGCTTGCGCAGTTCCGCGCGTATTTTGAGGAGAGTTCAAGGTCAATCAAGGCGGGTGAGGAAAATATGAACGTAAACACGCCGATTGTTATCTAGTCTAATCCTGTTCAGGTGTTATCTCGTCCCATCACAGGTGTTTTGGCGGATTGTCGTCGGCCATGATGAGTATTGCCGACGATGGAACGACTCCTCTTACAAAATGTTCACCTGTGCCGTAGTATCGTTTTTGAAGCGGGAAGCTCAAAAAACCGCAAATTTCTTACGCAGATTGTGAATTTATGAGTGCATTTCAGACTTTGCCGATGCGCTCATCGTGATTTTTGAGGCATTATCTGTAAGAAACAACTCTTAGTTTTGCTCTAGCAAAAGTTTGCAACAGGCCCATTGAAACGGAAACCGATGTAGTATATAAATTCAATAGTGAATGGCACCTTTTTTAAGTAAATTCGATTTCAAAGATACAAATGCTGGAAAATGTGTGTGTCTGAACTGGTGAGTTCTCCTAATTAGAAGAACAAATATATGTCTGTGACCTTTTTAAACATAATTTTTTTTAATTTGCATGGAAATCTTTTACGAAACTTACTGGCATGCATTACAACTACTTAATTTGATAGTCGATTCTACCCACCTTTAAGGAGTAATCTTCTTTAAATTTATAGAGGGAAATAATAAATTTTAAAAAAAAAAAGTTCTACCTGGTAAATACAGAAACAGAAAAAGTAAATTGTTCTACAAACACGTAGTAAAAAAATTTCCTCAGAATGTAAGAAATATTTTTCGAATTTTCTTCATTTTTAGGGATATCTGTCAAAAGAATTAAAAGCGGCTTTGGCTAAAAATCAAGATTAATTTTTGTGTGCTGCAACTTCGCAAGACGGTAAAAGTTTATGCTGGTTGAGATACAGTTGAAAAAGAGCTGGAAATACTTCAAATGCAGATTGCCCTTTTATTTTTAGAAGGTTCTCTTAATTTTACTAATTCTGCATTTTCTCGATTCCGGCTGCCCCTAAAATGCAGTTTACCAAGGTCTCTTAAATTTATGGGGTGAGATGTGTCATCTGCCTCACACAAATAAGATGCATCAAAAGAAAAGTATGTGAGATCGCTGCTCACTGGTTCCTCCTTTAAGAAAAGGTACCCACTTGTTTGCAGCATTCTCTCTCTCTCTCTCTCTCTCACTGTAATAATTCTTATGAGCCAGATACACTGCAAACATTTTATAAAATTGCAATTTATCATCATTCAAATGACATATTTTGAAGTCCTCCATTGCAAACGATGACAGTTTGCCCCCTGATTTTGATTCTATGTAGAAGTTAACAAAATAACCTCTATTCATTCCATTTCCAGGATCTTTGTTGCATCATGAAGCAGAGTCTGATGTGGATTTTTCACTTAGTGTCCTTGCGATTTGTAATGCTGGAGCACACATCAGAAAACGGAATTTGAGAAGATTGCTCAATATTGCCAACTCAAAACACACTGTCGGTAAGAAAGTTTCACAAAAATCACAATTAGGCATCAGAAAGGGCTGATATCACCTCCTAACATCACAATCTATGCAAGAAATTTAAGTATGAATTTTTGAGATTCTTGCTTCAAAAATTTGTAAAACAAATGCACAGACATAGTTTGGTGCAGATGAGCCACCATGATTTCAAAATTTCTTATGAAAAACTGCAAATGGCTGTTGTCATGTAGTGCGGTTCCTCAAATCAATCTAACAACAATGGTAATCCTACCATTGAATAATAACTGCCAAAAGAGCAATTTTCCTTACATAATTAACTTTTTTTCTTGATATGCATCGTAATACCATGTAAAATACAGAGTGTTATGAGGTAAGGAGTCTGTGAAAAACGTCTTATTCTTTGTGATGACTGTTGGGTAAGAACGAGCATTAAGTAAGTGAAGTGAGCGGGGGAGTCAGAGTTCAGCCTGATCCAAATTCAGACAGGAACTTGATAATACTTTCGGGTCTCCTTTGATAGTCAGTTGCAAAGGATTAACTTTTTTCATAGTTTTCAAAATTCTTTAGAAGATCTGAAATATTTTAAATTGACCTATTTATGAGTAAGAACAAATTTTTTCTGGCTCAACGTAAAAATCGTGATTTTCTGAAGTTTCCCTTAACCAAAGATTTTTTATTCTCAAGGAATTCCAGTGTCATAACTTTACAGTACTCTAAATCCTTAGAAAGGATACAATTCCAGTGCCAAGGCTTGATTGTTGTTTTTACTCAAGAGCCTCAGTTTGTGTATACTGATTTTTCTGTATTTTGTTCTGTGATTTTCTAGAGACACTGAGCAGTGTAGTCATGGCTCTGCAGTGTATAGTGGAGGATCATCGGAACAGGAATCTTGAACACTATACCAACAAACCACTCCTAACCTTAGCAAGACTTCAACAGGCTGATGGAAGTTTTGGTAGTCTTCATGGGACAGCTCTCGCTGCACAAGTATGTAATTGCTCTTCTTTTATAATGTTGAATTTTCATCAATCTGTGCCGATATTAAATTTTTCTTCATATATTTGATCAGTCAAAGCGCTATAAATTTTCTGTTTACTGAAATTATCTTTTTTCCGTCGGAAAAGTAATCAACAATTAACTCCACTGACGGCTTAGAAAATAAGTTTGCAGTATGTCTGGAGAGATGAAGTGGAAAAATACCAAGTGAAATTGACTCAAATAATCAATAACGTTTCATTACTTTTTCAGGCTCTCCAGGATGAAAACGAACTTTGGAATAGATCAAGTGCCATATCCTGGCTTGTGAACCACCAGAATCCTGATGGTGGATTTTTTGATGTACCAACCACTGCAGAAGTGATTTTAGCCCTAGCTGACAAAGGCCTTGGCTCCGTTAGGGAAATTGAATGTGACAGCACGATCAGAGGTATGGTGTTGGCCCCTTTAAATCATCTGAGGCTCTCAAGTTCCCAAAGTTTTGATCTCAAAATTTTACTTGTTGAATCCTTTTAAAGAATTATCTTAACTTTAAATTGCCAAAAAAATTATGATTTTTTCAATATTTGTTTGGAGGATTTTCTAAAATTTTTGTCTTAAAATTGGATGCAACTAACATTCTTCCTCATCAGCCTTGTTTCAGGCATGGTAATAGATTCCTTTTTTATGCTTACCTACTGAAAAAGTCATGCCCAAGTTTTTTGTTTTGAATTTAGTATTTACTAAGGACCCAGTAGATCACTTTCATTTTAGCATTTCTGCATGGAAACACCGGAAGTAGTATCCAATATTATTAAATTCTGAAGCATAGGTTTGGAATAAATCGTCCAGTAATATTTTGGTTAAGCTTTGATCGAAGGAAATCTTTGTATAAAGTGCTCAGAAGTACTAAAAAAATCTCAGGTCACAATCTATTTCAATTACAAGATATTTTCCTTCATTTTCAGGCTATGAATCAGACTCCTCTCTGAACATACCAAACCTGTCCGTCACAACAGAGGAGACTATTCACGCTGTGACAGAAAATGAAAGTAAAAACAAGACAGACACCTCCAGAAAAAGCAAAGACATCAGTACGAAGAAAGAGAAACCAGACAAAGCAAGAAATTCAAAAAATTCTGGGTCAAAAGAAAAAGAGGCTCTCAAAACGAAATCTATGAAAGAGTCTGCAAGTTTGTCAAGCAAAGAAACTGTGAAAGATGTTCTATTAGAGTACGCTACGCAGGCACCCGCAGTAGATGTCACTGTGACGTACACACTCTGGATTGGAAGTAACATCACTGACAATCAGAGTATATCGATAACAACCCAGCATAATTCGACATTTTATAATGTGATGCAACTTGCCGCCGAAAAAGACAGCCAACACTATAGGTGAGAGCATCATAATGTGTGATCATTCACAGAAATAAGGACCTTAGCGCTGAATAATTAAAATAATGATATTAGACTTACTGCCTGTGGGAGTGCACCAAGTGATATTTTGGCAAGTCCTAAAATGTCAAACTGAATCAGAACTATGATGGTTTGAAGTATTTTGTTCAAAAACCGAAGCTTTGAGTGAAAGATTTTCCAAGTTATAATCTTACATCGTTGAGGCTCATAACTATCGAAATGAAATGCAATTTCATACTTCTACATATGAGCATGATAATGTCATAAATCGTCAGTATGTTTCTCCTTGATATAGTAGAGAAAATTCATTGTTGAATACTCAAATTCGCTTAACAAAAATTATTCTCCGGAAAAATTTTCTTCCATGTTTCTAGGTACTTTATCCTGTATATGGATGATTAAATTTTCTGCTTTAAATATAAAACGAACCTTTACTGTGGAACTAAAAGTACTGGTCGCTAGTAGTAGTCAGGGTTTTAATATAAGGTATCATGGACAAAGGAGTTTTGTGAAATATATTAATATATCTATAAAACATAGAGAGTACAAAATTGAATGCTAAAATTCCTTTTTTTTTTTTTTTTGCCTTTTTTTTGAGTTCAACATGTTGGGGAGTGTATCAGCTCGAGCCAAAAAATAGAGTTTTTAATTTTAGAACAGTATCAGAACCTAGCACTTATGAATATTGAACAATTATCCCAATACATTTGTTTCGTTCTTGAGTTATGCTTTCATGACTGTACTTAACATCTCTAAATCTTACCTTTTGGGTCCTTATGATTCAGTTAAAAACTAACCCCATCGTGCAGTGCCTTTGTAGCTAACGTGTCTAGACAAGATTAGAAAAGTAATCCTACTTTTACCATCCATAACTATAAGAGGCAAAACATTATAATTTATTAATCTAAATTCTGTGTTGTTTTTTATGAGCAACATTATTTGAAGAGCAACTTTTGTTTTTGTTCAGTTTCTCAGCAACAGAGTGGCCTAATGGACATTATGTTCACACTTTGGCTGGCTGGAAGGAGGAACCAATGAGTTATCATTACTGGTTATTGTATCAGCTGACTAGTCTACCAGATCCCAACAATCCACCAGGGAATCAACTTGTAGCACCCACAGGTAATCATGCATTACAAACTCCACGCCATACATGTCCTTCATACTTTATACGTCTGCATTATTTTGTCAGAGAAAAGCTAACCAGTATTATTGGCGTATTTTTTAATGACGTGTCGCAGTAGCAGGAAAATGAGTGGTATCGATCAGGGCCGTTTTTGGGGCAGCGCTTACTAAATTTCCTCAGCTCTATGATTCTTTGCCGATTTGTGGACTAGCAAAACATTGTAGAGTCGAAAAAATTCAGGCTGGGCCTAAACTTCTCAGGAGAATTATGTCTTATCCTCGCAACTGCTAAATATACAGACTTTTTTCCTGATATACTTAATTGAAAAGAAGATGAAGAGAAGCTTCATCACATTGAGATGAACTCATTAGTGTAAGGGGCCAGAGCTAAAATCCACATTGTCCGTGTGTGAGGAAACTGGATGAGGCTCTGATGACCTTGTTTTCAGTTTTTTTTTTTTTTTTTTTTAAATGTAATGTTTGATATTAGCATTTGGAAATCCAAGCACTCCGTATTTTTTTATTCTTTGTACAAAAATATGTCATCACTCATCAATCACTATTATATTGAACTCTTTAACCAGTTGACTTTTGGACCCTGCTTTAATTGTAACCAAGAATGTATGAGTTAAATTCTAATTATTTTCATATCAGCTTGGAGGTGTTTTCAAACAAGTAATCGAATTTCATACTAACAATTTTTGCCCTAATTTTCTCTTCCTGAAAAAATATTTACTCTAATTTTCATAATTTAATCTTTTTTTAGGCGTTGATGATCTAATTGTTCAAGATGGACAACATTACCTCTTCTGGTACAAAAAACTATGAATCACAACTGTGCTCATTCTAATGTTGCCGAAGAATAATGAATAATGCGCCTACATACACACCATTGTCAACATGAAATCAACTTCACAATCAGCGCAATTCGTTTTTTTTTTTTTTTTTTTTTTTTTTTTTTTTTTTTTAATTTCATTGTCAACGATTATTTTTTTCTCCATCTTTATTAATTTGCCTTGGAAGATTGTAACTTTCCTGTCTCTCACAAACATACTTAAGCTAATGAATGTAGATCAGGATTGGAACTTATTACTACTTTTTCCCCTCAGTCACTTCAAACTGGAAACCAGCCAGCAGGAAATTGAAAAAACCCATTCAACAGCAAGCTGGTTATAAATATATATCTGCTTGAAAAATTGCGTGCTTGATCATTGATTTCGCTGACTGAAGTAGTCCTAAGATGTTAGATGAAAGACTGTTTGTTCTCACACCAAAATAGATGCAACATGCCATGAGAGGGACAAAATTTTTCTCTAAAATAAGATACTTTATGCTATTGGCTCTCTCGAGAGATTCTGTCCTCATTCCTTCTGAATTCTCCGGAGAGAATGTAGTAGGATAAAAGATCCATTCAAAAGTTCAACTTCATGTTTTTTCTTTCCTTTGTAGATTCTACTTTTAAAAAACTGAGAGGTTGATGTCATTGATGAATTTTAAAACGATTTATTTTTTGAACTAGCAGTTTTTGCCCTGCTAGGGGAACATGTTTGATTCATTAATGGATTATTTAGTGGAGAGGACAAAAAATCAAGCTCTGCTCTCTGTACTCCTTGGAGATTTTCTTTTGTTTCATTCCATCAACTTTCGGAAAGCATTTTTTTTTATTGCGGGCAGGTAATAGGTTAAATACAAGTCTATGAAGACATTCCCTTGATTAGAAGTGGACAGGCAAGCAGGAATACCAGGAAAAATCATGGTTGGTCCATCAATATTGTGGACGATTTTGAACTGGTTTCCTTCCTTTACACAACAGTAAAACAACTGAAATGGGTCTGTCAAAGTGCTGGTAGGTCGGTATTTCCGATTGCTTCTCTGTTTCAATTCGCCCTTGTTTTTAAACATCTTTTGAATGATTTAAATAGAATTGACAACACAAAGTGTTTGCAGCTGGAGAGAAAAATCCTACTCAATTAAGTCAGATCAGCTATTCAATCAAATATCCAGTCAAATTAGGTTTAAGGCCTAGAAAAAATTTAAGGGTAGTGGCCTGTCTGTGCATCATTCAGCTGCTTTGACTTTACCGAGTGTAAACAATTTCCTATTCTTCAGTAATTGTGACCTAATTAATTCTAATCAGAGTTCATCTTCTGAGATTTGAACCATAAAATAAGGTAAGATTTGCTAGGGTTTAATGGTTTTCTGCCTGGCTCTTAATAGAATACCTCTTTCTCTGATTGCATCATAGGATACAGATGTCGAAACGGGCATTGCTACCATAATTTCTCTTTAAATCAACTTAGTTCTATTCAAGAAGAGTAAATGGTTCACATTTTAGCTCTCTTTAACCTCTTGCGCAGGTACATATATTGTAACGAGGTATCTAAGATTTTTTGATTTGTCTACAAATTTACTTCATTGACAATCATCAACTCTCAGTAAGCACTTTGTTTTAAGCTTCCATCATCACTATTGTTTAAAGCAAGCCAGATTTCGGTGCACAAGAATTAAAAAAAAAAATTCCCCCAGAATTGAATGACTCACCCCCCCCCCCCCCCCACACTAATGTTACCAAGCAAGAAGCAATACAAAAGTCAACCTTACAGTACCCACGTAACAAGACCTTTAAAGTTTTAATTTTATAAGTACTATAACCGATTAACCAGAGGTTCAGTCACTAATATGTTTTTGCCCATTTTTAAAAAGATTTTATTCCTCAAAGGTGCTTTTTCTCTGGATACAAAAGGCTAATGTGCAAGTTGCAAACTATTTCATTATCATTTTCTCTTTCATCAGTTTTAAAATCTTTTTGAAATTTTAGATCAGATTAATACTCTTTTTCCCTGCTACTTCCCTTTTACTTTTTCATTTCATTGTTCGTTTTTTTCATTATTTACATTTTCTTTTTTTTTTTAAATTTAATTTGGCACCTAATACCTAATAAGTATTATTATAAATATTTTTCTATAACCAATCTGTGAAACTTTGATTGTGTTGCTCCAAGTATGACATGACACCTAGCATGTCTTCAGAAACTCGGTGTAATACATTGGAATGAGGTGAATTTCCTGTTCTAAATTTTTCTCGTTTTAGTCAAAATTGAGGGGAGAAAATTATTCTAGCGTAGTTGCAAGTATTGAAATCATTTTGAATGTAGCAACAGGTACATTTTATTTTGTATTCTTGTCGACTGTGTGGTTGATGTCCAGATGTCTATGATACATCCAGAAAGTTTCTGTTTGGAAAAGAAGAGAGTTTGTAAGAGCATTGAGCGGTAGCTGCAAAGGTCATTTTCAAAGTTTGTAAACTTAAAGTTTCCCGGTTTTGGTGTTAAATCCAAGTTTTACAATACCAATTATGTTTAGAAATTAATTAATTTCTCTTATGATATAATATTGTTATTTCTTTTTCTTGTTGTTAAATTAATTTTAATGGACTACAGTGATTTATACTGGTGTTGTAACTAGTGTTACTTTTGATGTGATTTCCAGCAAAGCGGTAGAAAGAAGCTGTCAAACTTGAGTTTCTGTCACTGAAAATCAATAAAATAGAGGCATTAAAATACTACTGAGTTGGTATTCAGACTTTCTCTCAACGTCTTTTAGTTTTTATTTTTTAAAACCCGAATACTATTGTCATGACCCTTTCTTGACAATTATCGAACGTTAATGATTTCTGAATAAATTTTGAGTGGAACAGGAGATCATTGAAACCTGTTCATACTTGTTTGAGAGCTTTTTTCTTCGCTTCCCTTAGGTTAAGTTAGGTACTGTTAAAATGCTCTAACACTCATTAAAGTGCACAATGGTAGATTTTTTGTTTTTAATCCCTCTTTTTTTTCTTATTTTAGAAAGCTTTAGTCAGACCGATAACTTCTGTGCTGATACCTATCGGAATATTTCATGAAGCTACTTAATGATTTGCTCATGAGAGACCCAATTTAAACTGGTTTTTTTGTCGCCTTCAATTCCCAAATTTTTTGTCGTTTTTATATATATTTTTCTCTTATTGTTTCAGGCATGAGGGTTAAATTGTAAGAATATTTTTTGTATTTTTTTAGACCAAATAGCTTTCAAAATGAATCGCCCGGATTGATTTTATTTTTTTATTCAGTTGTTGAAAGATTTGAAATATGCATTGGTTCTTGGGCTTTTTATTGAATAGAATGACCTTTGTCCGATTGATTTTTTCATCCAGTTACGCATCTAGCTTTTTTAATGAAAAAAAAGATACAATATTCACCCACCAGAGCAAATTTTTATAACTTCATTTTGAAAGTACAAGTTCTCTGGCTCTTTTTTCCTCTCCTCATTCAGTATCATTATTTCAGAGTCTTGTCGTGTTTCATTTAGATCGGAGCAAACAAACAATTGAGTTTCTGAATAATGAGGTGTTCAAGATTTATTTTACAGCTGTCCCTTGTGGTATTTAATAAACCAGAAAGAGCCTGTTCTGTAACTTCTTAATTTCTTATTTTGAGATTTTTGTCTTATTTTTATAATTAATTGAAAAATTTATTAGAGCAGGCCATTTTTTGTTATTTTTACCCTTTACGTACCTCTATTATTTCATTCTTGGGAACTCTTTGATTTCTTCAAACCCATCAGCAGATTTGATATAAATCAAGTGTTCAAGTACACTAATAATAAGACTAATTTGGAGGTTGATGAAACATGTAACTTTATGATTAGGCCTCCACACACAAGTGCATTTGTACAAGAAGTTTTTTGAAGATGACAGAAAGCGAGGATGTCAGGAAAATTTAGCGTTCAAACCTCATCGATTTTATTTGGTAGTTACCTAATCAGGAAAATCTTGAGTTTTTCATATATAATTATTTTGCCCAAACAGTTGTAATAGAAGAATGTAGATAGTTTGAAGAATCTCGTGGATAGAGTTTGTAGGTTTACACATGAAGATAGGATTGCAAGAAAAATGTTGGACCAAAAGCGGAGTTTTTTTATCATTCACTACCAAACATATTGCCGATCAAAGATTAGTAGAGAGTGAATGAAATATTTTGTGATATTTAATTTACCCATTGTAGCTTTGAATGGAAGCTCTAATATGTCTCTGATAGAGAACATTTTGATAATGTTTCTCTGATTTCTATTCCCAATAAATTAATTTTCAAGAAAACATTATTTTACACCAAGGGCAATGCTTTCAGCAATTACTGTATACAGAGTCCATCTGATGTAAAACCGTTGCTCTAAATGAAGAGCTGCAATTTACGTCACAGAATTTTGCATTTTAGTGACCAGTTTTGACTCAAAAACTTCCTCCAAGGGGAATGCTAAGACCAGCTGCTGCAAAATGAATTTGATGTTACAACTAGATTATGCATGCTTAGTCGGTCTAAATTTTAAAATTGAGAAGATCCTTCCTGCTAATGACTGTTATCAAATAATTAAAGTAATTTCTAATTTTTTTTTGCTTTCACAATGCCTATTGTAGTTAATGTTATTGAATTAACAGTCATGAGTTGGAGAGGCTTTAACTCAGATTTTTATTCGATTCATTGTTTGATTGTGAGTCTAAAATATTCTGTGATATAAAATTTATTCATTGTAGATATAAACTCAAATTTTATTAGGCCAGTAATGGAACACGCTTGAATTATGCTTGAACTTTTGTGAGTAATTTTAGATAGCTGACCGTCATCGCTCGCAATTATTTTTTATTTTTATATCAACAGAATGGTTTTGATAAATTCCTTCAGCCTCCTTGCGATGTTGTGGCCCTAAAAGTAAAATGTGTTTGAGGCATTTAAATGAAAACGATTCACTCTGTGTTCCAGAAAAATTGTACCAACATTGTAAATCATTTTTCTTTTTCTCACCATGAAATGTACATTTGCTTTTGAATTCCGGAATAATATGTATGGTTTTTAAGAATATTGAAGCCTATACTTAATGTGTATAGATGATTTTCTCTTTTAATAAGCTTAAACAAAATAGATAAGCATTTATGAAACGATAGCATTGCCTCTAGCTTTAGATATTAAAAATTACAAAAATACGAGAAGCCAGTCATGTTACTAGTACTTCATGCTAATGACAAAAGAGAAACGAAAAAGCAGTCCATGGTGAACTTGGAGGCCACTATGGTGGCGGCTCACAATGAAAATTCTTAGGGGTTTCCCAATTTTTCTTCTTTTTTTTTTTAATCAAAAAGAAAAATTTTAGATTTATGAGTCAATGTAAAGATAAGAAAGAGTGGAACAGAAAATCTATGCTTTGTCAGTAAAAGAGGCTATTCCACCTTTTTCTTGTAATCTGTAACCATTCCGTGGCTCTGACTGGTTGATACGACAAAAAAAGAGCGAAACCAGTGTCAATATCTCATTAGGATCCCAGTAAAGCATTTTCAATGCACCTAACTAAGCTGAATGCTCTCTCTCTTAACTCCTTTACTGATAGGTACCTGGTACTCATTAGAGGTCTTTAAAACTGATTCTAATTTTTTTAATTTTTCTGGCTCTAATTTCCTATTATAGTAGGATAGATACGGCACCACTCTACTATTCTATTCTTGCTACAAAAAAAGAGATGCCAGCCTTTAAGAGACGCTCAGGTTCTGTGCCATTTCCTTATCTGTACTCAAAAATGGATGGGTTGTTTTCATTTTTTGGCATTCATTGAAAAACATGGATCAGGGTATCGAATGGGAGCTAAACACTGATAGAACTGCAGTCAGAGCCTAGGAATCACGGTGCTAGCAGGCCTAAAAATCTAAGAAAAGATCTTCAAAATACCTGCAAGCATTTCAGAGAATGAGTATGGTACATTTCTTTTCAAATCCGAGAAATTCCTACATAAGAATCTTTTCAGAACGGTTCATTACTCTAAGTTTTCCTTCTGACAGAAAAAAATGCTAATAGAACTGAGCAGAAAAAAAAAATAACTCTACTTATCAATTTTTTTTCTTTTTTTTTTTCTATCTTACTTCAGCCAGAAATTGACAGACCTTTGTGTTAGTACAGTTACAAAAGTCCTCTGCTTCCCTATGATCCCTTAATTTTGTTTCAGAATCTTTGATTTTATGAAGAATCGATCTCAAAGATGTAAATTTTTCAGTTGTCAGTGCCTGAGACTGCAGCATAAAATGATTGTAATAAATACTGTATAAGACTTCATTGACAATAATAATGTATTGTTTGGCTTCTCAAGTGATCTTATTTTCATTTTTAAATTTCATTCCATCTAGTCTCTGAAGAGAGTATTGTGTGTGACCGCTATTCTATAGATTTACTGATGCCACACTTGTCATTCTCAAAGGAATCATGGAACATTAATATTTGAATGACGGTGGGTGCTGTTATGGGGAATTTTGCTTTAAAAATACAATTCAAGCATCCATTTAATAGTGCAAAACGTGTTGCTGCCACCAATTTGTATTTGTTGGAAATGTTAGTTATGACATCGCAGTTTTCAAAGCTACGATTTTCTCTTTGAAGAGATACAAGCCGAGAAAGTGTAAATTAGGACCGGATTTTAAGTTGCGTAAAAGTTCAATAATAAACCCTTAAAATATTGCATTTTTGGCGGAGGCCACTAAATATTGAGTTTCATTCATTTCAGACTTTAGTTTGCCAAAAAAAAGACTCATTTGTGTGTTGAGATGTAAAAAAATTGACTAACCCGCTCGGCAATTTTTGGCTGCCTGAAATTAGAAGATTGCTTCTTCTGGTTATCTATGGAAGCCTACACTAGGACTTTTGAACAATGCTTTAGGGAACTAAGAGAGAATTATTTATAAGACACAAAATAAGAATAACCTACATTTATTGTAATATCGTTAAAATATAGAAAAATATAGTAACCACACAAGCTTACAATGGGTAAAGATCAGTTGAAGAGCTCACAGATTAATACATATAGATTCTAATTACTGAAGAGGAAAAAGTATCAACACAAGAGTCGAAGTTGATACATTTTATAATAAAAGACTCACAATTCAGGCATTAGAAATTCCTTAAAACAAAATGTGATTGGATTGAGGAAAAGGGACCTTGTCTTCCAGGAGAGAGTTCCCCTATGCTTTTTGCTAACACTTACACTAAGTTCATCTACAACCAAAGAACTTTTGTCTAGGAACTTCAGGACCAAGACCTCCTTCAACTTTAAAAATTTTGTTCCTCCTTACTTCAATGAAGAGTTGAGAAGAATTTTCTCCCAAAGATAAGGTCCCTTATCACAGATACGATTAATTATGAGGAAATGGTATCAGATGATGAAGACTCGTGCAATTTTGAGGATTTTTCTCCCTCGAAAAACATCACCATCATGAATACTAATAATCCAGGCACGTCTATGCAAAAAATGCAAGAAATATTTAAATGCTGGCATGCGATTATTTGAATGGTTTGTTGATGAAGACCAGTTAAACTTTAACTAGATACAGACATAAGAGAAATTATTAAAAAACAATTTAGATCACATTTTAAAAGTTTTCTACTGAATATCTTTGATGAGGTACGGTGCAGAAAAGACTACTTTTGGTCCTAATAAAGAGAACAGGAACTGACTAAACAGACATGAATGTAGAAAAAAAAGAGGACAGAAACATTGAAATGGAATAAACGATTCAATTCAAAATTTAGGCCACAACAACGCCAATGCCTGCAAGCTGTTTGATTTCTTTTATAAGGTAATCACAGTAAGACTTGCGGTCTGGTGCTTTTGCAGTAACAGCAGCAACTCGAACTCGCGTTTCATCCTGAGAACAAACAAAAGTCATTTAAACAGGAGATCATAACAGAATGTATTGTAAACTTTTGCAATAAATGAATTACTCTGAAAATTTTGCATTTTAAGAAAAAATTGTTTTTTAAACTAGGAAGGCCTACTAAAAAACAAGGAAGGCAAGATTTCTACATCTCTTATCCTGCTGAGGCGAAATACTAGGGCTGTGCGGTTACTCGAATTTTGAGTCGAGCCGAGCATCTCATACTCGACTCGGCTCGAAAGTTAGGTTACGTTCGAGTGCCAATAACACAAGTTTTATCAAGTATTTTGAGCTTTTTGGAGCCGGCAACGCCGAGAGAGTCCAACTCCCAAATATTTCAATCATACTATTAGCATTTTTAGTTTCGCCATTATATTTCGATTGTAAAATCATGTGTTAAAACTCAAAATTACTCGGACTCGACTCAGCTTGAGGATCATTTTCTATGCTCGAAAAAGCTTGAACTCGGCTTGAGACAGTGAAAAAATACTCAAACTCAGCTCGAATTAAAAAAACCAGGCTAGCACAGCCCTGAGAAAACCCAGGGGTTTCTTGTTCATCAGGCAGGTGCTATACTATGGGAGGTTGATATTTGGCAAGGGGCAAAGGTGGAGTGCTTATACATGTATGATTAAGAACTCATGACAAAGTGTTCCAAGAAAAAGTAGGTGAAACGAAGGTATGCTCTTCTCCTGATAAAACACCTGAACTTGACAAACGCGCTGCTCTGTTTGTTCCATTTCAGCCTTGACAGGAAATTTAAAACCGAGGGAGGATTGGACATTTGAAAGTCAAGATTGAAAAAGCCAATTTTTATACTCGACATGGCAGAAATCCCCTAAGCTCGGGGGCAATTGGACCAATAAGAATCGAATATGAAATCAGCATTTTATGTCAAACTTTCTATCAAGACTGAAACGAAACGAATAGAGCTCAGCGTTGTGTCGATTTTAGATGGCCTGTAGCAAAGGAGCATGCCTTTGTTTCATTTACCTTGCATCAAAAAGCATCGATTGGTTTCACCCTCGGGCTCTTTATTTTAGGAGCAGATGAATTTAATTTGTGGATCAGGTCCACATTCTGCCGTTCAAAGGAAAAACGCCGTATGAACATTTGGAGGTTGCCTAATTTCCTCCTGTAAAATGTGTATTTTTAAGGAGATTTATGAATATTTTCCCCTGAAACCTTCCAGAACTTTAGGTAAAATTGTGAGCAAAATAATCTAAAATATTGGAAGAAAGATGATCATAAGTTTTCTCAAAATTTTTTGTTTAATCAAAGGAACTTTGACAATGCCTGAAAGTTCATATATGGCGTGAACATATAAAAATGAGAAGATACTCGGAGCATGCTTCTCCAATGACTTAATATAATCATTAGTTTTGTCTTTGAACCCAATAATCATTCTGAACTAAACGTTGAACTCAGGTTAATAGTCAGATACTCACATTGTAAGTTTCTTGTTTGGCCCGTAGTCTGAAAATGTGCTCTGAGAATCTAATGTTCTTGAAACAGGAACTGATGTCGTTATGCTCTTCCTTTACAGCACCCACTTCAGCAGCTGTCATTCCGAGAAGCTGTTCTGCAGTCTCTTGAAAGAGTGTAATCCAAACTTCGCCCGACCAATCAACAACATGCACGTTTAACAGAAGCCTCCAAATATAATTGGGCACTTCTTTGCAACATTTTTCACAGCGGAAGAACCCGTTATTCTGGTCCACTACTTTCCTCTTGCAGTCTCCGAGAGGACAAGCTTGGTAAAGAGCATTTTCTTGGCGCACATGAGTTACAGTGCCTTTAATACTGAAGTAGTCAGGTTTATCTCCACTTCCAAGCTGTTTGTCACGGAAGTCTCGCAGAGAAATGATATCACTTGATCCATCTGAAAAAAAGGAAAAACGTTCAATCAGCATCAATACTGTAAACTCCTCTGTTCCATACAATTGCATTTTTTATCCTGGTTACATTTGGAGATCTACAAGGCTCATTTCCATGATTTTTTGGTTATCAGTAGGTGGAGTTGTGCAAATAAATCAACATAATGACTAACCTTCCTCAAGTCCAAAGCAAATAACCTACCCCACTAAGTGAGCGCACTATCCGACATTTACAAATATTCCTGCTGGCCGCATAAAGCATTTTGTGGCAAATCATCTCAAGAAATTGGCCATGCTAAATTTGAGAGACATTTTAAACGGAATTCACTCTTTTTGCTTGCCAATAACATTTATTTTGCAGCGATCAAAGCGTATGACATTCAAGGCGACCACAACTAGTTGAGCTTAAAAAGCTGTAATTACTGCCCCCAGTGAGCACTGCAGAAGTCATTGACCGAAATTGGAAATCAAATGGGCTCTGTACGCTAAGGTGAGGAAGTTAGCACCCCAAGTTCAACAGCAAATATTTCAACATCTACCCCGATATTTGTGAATTTTTGTACTCTTCACAAAAATCCACACAGTTTTAAATTATTCAAATTTGCATTTCGACGGTGTAAGTCGGCAATCACATAACTCGTTTGCAGTGTCTAAAAATTTCCGCATCTATGTTATTTTTTTTAAAGAGAATGAATAAACATCATTCCTTGAAGCTTATGCAGAATTTTCTTCACACAGAGAAGAAAAATCAAGACAGTTTTAAAAAATTGCTGTCGAGTAGTTTTCTGTTTAAAAAATAAAGTATGACAGGAAGTCCGCGACGTCGCAAACCGAGTTATGTGATTGCCGACTTACACCGTCAATTTGTAGTTTCAAGTAATTGACTGTTGGTTTTATTTTGACTATTCCTACAGCCCCAGTTAGTGATGATCTATAGATGAGCCGACTGATTTCAAATTAAAACCCAGGTGTTTCACAGTTGCTAAGTAAATAGCCCTTCAAGAGTCCAAAGAGCCCATCAAAGAACAGCCACTCAGAGGCCAAGGAGGACCTACTTGAGTGAAAAAATCACAGCTAAACCTGAGAGATAAGTTCATTAGGACGAAATAATACAGTGGTGTTGAGTAAAAACCTATGCTTCTTCAAAATGTTTAATAAATAAGCTTGAATCTTGAGGGAAAAAGAGGCAGCTCAGTTAAATGCATTTTCCCAGGATTCATTTGAGGCTCTTACGTAGAGATTCATACTTTACCAAGAAAATTTCCGAGCTCCCCCCCCCCCCNCCAAATTTTTTCCTAACAGGTGGCCTTTCAGAACAGATACATATGAATTAAAATTAAAAACATAAAGAGGTTAATGTAGCATATGCTAGTCATCAGTCGTAAACAGCCAAGTTTAAATAAAGACGACAAGCAGAAATTTACATATGAAAATCGCCTTGAGGATGCTCAACGAGAAAAGGAATAAAGTGAAAATGAACACTTACTATCTGCACCACCTGCACCAGTCCGAGCAGACACATTTCTGAAATCCATTGAGCGGGCTTCTTGTGTATCGTACCAGCCACGGAGTTGATGTGCCTCTGGGATATCAGGATTCAGTACAAGTGAGGAGCTACCCAGCAAACCAATGGAACGGCTTCCACTATATTCTGTTACTCGCCCACCTTTTACCGCAACAATTGGTTCATCGGTGGGGTCAAATTCCACAGCCTGCGTTCCCCATAATGTTATGTCTACCTACAAAAAAAAAAAAAAAAAAATAATAATAATAAAAAAAAATTACAGAATAAAAATTTGTTCCAGAGAAATAAAAGAGCTGAAATATTTAGGTAATATTAAGAGAGAGGGAACTAACTTTTGTGGAGCTTAATTCAGAAATAAAATATCCAAAATTGATTTCATAAAGCAAAATACATGTTTTTACAAATGCCTCCACTGTAGCCACATTCCCATCTACTAAATGCTTTTCATTTAGCACTGAGTTAAAAAGGAATCAATTGTTGCACAGTTAGAAAACAGAAAGAAAGAAAGCAGAGGTTTTTTTACTTTTATTAGGAACACAACTACGGCGTATTAAGTGTTAATTTTTTTTTTAAAACATGAGGATTCTTTAACAATCAAAGAGCATGGAAGTCATTATTTGCTGAACATGAGAATTTTTAAGCTTTAAATTACCAGATGATAAGATCCAAGAAAAAGAAGAGAAAATAAATGAATATATACATATGGAGAGAAAAAAAGGATGACACAAGCAATATAAATTGCAAAGATGAAATCACATAGTAAAACTGCCTCCCTGAACTAGGTGACGGTGGAACCATTTTCTAATCTGCCAACTTCTGACTTTCAAAGCTGCAGCTTGATAAGTCATTTTTTGGCCACAGTGTTGGTAAAAACCTCCTCTAGGCAGCGAAACCTTCATCTACACGTAAGTTTTTCAGTATTGATAGCCTTTTCTCCTTGACTTGTCAGCGTTGAGCAAATACGACTGAAGTTTGGCAGTTGATATGCTAAGAATGGTTTCTGATAATTAAGTAGTTGATCAGTACACAGGCCGAGCGTGACTGGTAGAGATATGCCCTGTCAAACTTTCTTATCAATGTGACATACACAACATAAAATGTGAAGAAAAAAAAATGCTATCTAAATGCTATCAATCATTAGATCAATGCAAGTTTATTTGATACCCTGACTGGCCCCTTTCAAAAGCTTGAATAAAACAAACAAAATATTCAAAAATAAAAAGCCCCACTTGGATTAGAGTCACATAGAAATGACAATCTCTGAAAAGTCTTATTAGTGAGTGTTCAGAAATTATGTGAGACATTAATCGGATACTCAAAGACCAAGACTGAGTTAATCTTAAGCTATAAAAGGAATTAAAATCAATGGAGTTCCTACAGGAACTAGATGTATTAACGATCTATTATTAAACTTTAATCAAGCTAACAATATAATTGATAATCAAATTGGATGACCCAATCTAATGGAAAAATTCTAATGGAATGACCATCCTTGATACGGATGTTTGCGTTTTCATTTGTCATTAGTGAAAAAACTGTTTTGGTCAGATCAGACAAGTTTATCTGCAACTTCACAATGCAATTAGCATTTTAAGTAGCTCTGGAAGTATAGTTTTAAACTTACTCTGGTTCCTGTCTGGTCGACAATAGATACATCTCTTTTCTGAAGTTCTCTTTGAGTAGTTCTTGCAACAAGATTTTGAACGTCTGATGCAGAAACACAAATACCAATGGCATCTGAAAGAAAAAAGAAAATTCAAATTAGCTTTAAAGATGAAATGGGTTATCAATTTTTTAAGTTAGAGCAATTCATTTGGTGAGAGGAACCTCATTTGTTTTCACTTGTTTTGGTTACGAAAGCACTTCCAGTATTGAAAAACTTGACTTCAATTAAATCCGATTAAATATAAAGTTTGACATTTTAAGTGCCAAAATTTTGAATCCTTGCAAGATGAGTGAACGAGTAAATTATCCACTGGATAGATGACTGAAAGTTCACAATATACTCTTGAATCAATGTAGGAAAGTTTTAAGCCTTACTAAAAGTAACTGCCGCAGCAGCTTAAACATGGACTTACAAATAATTTCAACTTTTAGAATTTCTGTCATTTGTCATTCATAATTTATAGGAATGTTTGATGGGAAAAGAGGCAAGAGGAACAATATTTTGATTCATAAACTGACATAAAATATACTTTGATTCCAAACAGGATGGATAAACTGATTACAATGCTTACCGACAATTGTGTTTGGTTCCTTTTCAGGGATCTTATTCAGTGGTATGAAGTTGTATGAAATTGCTGGGATGGACTCATCTTCTTCTTCGCACGGAACAATAACCGTTTCACGAGTGAATGACATTTCAAAATCATGACTCAATGATGAGAATTTCTTGTTAGCAGGTTTCAAAGCGCATTTACTGATTAGGTAGACTTTATTCATCTAAAGATCAAACACACAATTTAAGAATTGCAGCAGAGGAATATAATATTTTTAAAAAAACTAAAAAGACGCTACTAGCAACCTTTTGTATTCTGTCTGAAAAAAATCTTAATGAAAAACTGAGCTCACGTGGAGTGGTTTTACTTTCTGTGTGAGTTGAAAATGTTGATTGGTTTTTTTATGTAGATTTTGGAAAGAAAGGCAGAATACACTGGAAATATATGAATTGTTAAAAATCTTATAATTAATATACTACAATATTCTGATAAGAAGAGTATTATAAACCTAGTTCTTCTATACTCAATATTGAATCCTGGAATTATTTCTGATTCTCCTTCTGAAAAATCAAAGGGTGTTCGGTTTGTCTCTGCTAAAATTTCAATTATTCAAACTAGGACTACGGGAAATAAAATTATCGAAATGGATATATATTTTTGAATTCATTTATCTTAAGAAAATTCATTTGTTCTGTTATTAAAATCACAGTGAATTACAGTTTTTATACAGCATTAACTTTGAAATTTAATTTATTTAACTTATGTTGGTTAATTTATTAAATTCTTTCACTCTGAAGCAAGATACTTTCCACACCCACTAAGTATAGCAAAATAATTGGATTTCTGAAGCTGTTCCTAAATTTCATGATTTCTAGACTTACTTTGTTCTACCATTAATTTTATTTCAAGCCTATTCCTCTTAATTTATGAGATAAGGAAGTACTAAATTAACCACCCCCTGTGGTTAAATTGGCTTTCCACTATTGTAAAATGTAAATTTGAAACATTGCAGTCACTTTTTCTTTAACCTGGAATCAGCAATCCATTTTTTTCCGTGCATACATTTTGAATATTTCACAGACCCTGATATTTTGCTGCACAGAAAAATAGTTAGGTTTGATGCCTTTTCTGTTCAGTGCTTAAACTCTATAGGTAATATGAAGAAGTAAATAGATCTTGAAAAGATTAATCAGACCTTAAGAATAATTGCTCAATGCATGAATGCCTGAGCTGAACACACTCCTGGCTTTTTGTCTTGCACTGAAACTCATGAGAGTTCATTTGGTGACTCTAATTTTAATTTTTGGATTTTTTGGCTCCGACTTCCTCGCAAAATAGTAAGGGTCCAGCACTATTCTAGCACCGTGTTACTTATAAATATGGGTAAACTGTAAGATTCTAAGTCTTACCTCAAGCATATCATAAAATTTATCACATTCTGCATTGAATGCAGTCGCACGAATTTCTCCAGTATCATCGATTAAATCCACACTGAACAGTTTGCCATTACCTCTGGCATTTGACCATGTTCGAATGCCAGCCTTGTTTGATACTCTTGCTTTGATAGTCCAACGATTTTGATACGGACTAAGACTAACAATTTTTGTAGTTGCACTGGTGCCACCGATTGACTGATTCAAATCGGGTCTGGCAACGCTTCTGTTTCCACCAATGCTACGCGGTGCTAATTGTTCAAATAAAAAAAAAAAAAACCCATGAGAAATAATAATTCTTTTAAAAAATAAAATGACTAAAATGGAAAAGGTAAAAGGAGAGACGGTATGACATATTATAATGGTGCAAGCTGGCATGACACAATCACAAAAGCACAAGTTTAAGTTTAAGTCAAAATAGTGAATTGATCTAATTGAACCAATCTTATTTTATGCAACAGCATTAACATATGCATTTTATCTTGCTGGTGAATTTTGCACCAATTGCTTTATTTTGTGAATCCTAAGTTAAATGGTTATTTTTGTTTGATCCCTTCGAAACTAAGATATTAGAATCAATAAGGCCCCTCAATATGCTCGATATATTGAAATGCAATATCAATTTGCTCCCTTCAAATCTGAAATAACAATCTGAGAGAGCTATCTAAAACAAATTTATCTCTATATGATTTTTTCGGCAAATGGACGTCTTTCGTTCCACCAATTATACTGTAGATTTAAATTGAAAGTTTGAACTTAAAATCAATGCCAGACAAAATTGTTTTTGAAAATATTGTGAAAAATCGGTTATTTGTGCACTTGGCGAGTTTTCTTGAAAATTTCTATGGGACTCGATGTTATAGATAAAATTCAAAGTCTATTTTCACATACTAAATATTTTGTCTGGACCCTGAAACAACGGGAAAAAATGTGCCGCTGGTTAAACTCTGAACCTTTTATAACCTATTTTTTTCCAAAATGTGACTTGATTCCGTTCTATTGAACCAAGTTTTAATGATCCCTAAAATTTGGATGATTTTGCAGCAAGTGAAATATTGATATGCAATAAGTCCCAGTTGATGACCAATTCAGAGGGGTGGCTCAGTGATCCTTTATGATTTTATTCAGCTAGGGAACCCAAATATAGAAGTATTGTGCTTCAAGGCTTGTCTGCCGCGTGGATAAAAAGAGGCTTAGACAACAAATCTATTGAAGTGATAAAATTGATAAAACTGACCAGTAGCTTGATTAGATGGTGCTGGAGCTGTTGATGAGTGACCATTAACTGCCGGAGCTGAAGTGGTTCCATTGGCAGATCCTGGACCTTCTTGCAGTGGCACTGGATTTCCGATCTTCTCTTTCACTTCAGCGCCATTCACAAGAACGGTCAAATCCAAGATTACCAGCACTCGTCTGTATAAGGCAAGATAAGAGATTAATAAAGGCTCACTTTACACTCAAGTGAAATTCATTTGTGTAAATATTACCTTAGCTATCAGGAGTAGTTGATGCAAGTAGTATTAGATTTCTGCTCCTGTTTTCAGCACGGTTTTGTTGTGCATAATGAGCATTACACATTACCACCACAAACCTGAGAATCAATTACCTTACCTGACTAAAACAAAATGGTCAGAGAGAAAATACTTACTTGTCCGCTTTGCCAGAGTTGTTGATAGTGCTCACAATATGTCGATTCATCCGGATAATTGAAAAGTCAGCTAACGTTCCATCAGTGATTTGGCTGTTGAGCTGCGTAGCAAGCATGGCAAAACTATTCAAATGTACTCCATCAGAAATGAGAATCCTGTAGCGTTCGCTTGCTGCATTCCCAGCAATTTTCTTGTTACCCTATAGCATAAAATGGGAACAGTTCATATCAACTTTAAGTATGGATGAAATACTGTGTTGTAATATTGTAAGAATATTGTAATGCCGGCTGTTCATGGCAAGAGTACAGTAGTTGGAGCACCCAATGTGATTGTTTCTGTGATTCGAGAAGTTCCTCAATAATTTACAGAAAAAGAAAAAAAAGATAGGGCACTAAGTAAAGATAAGTTAACAATGGCTGACTTTCTTTTCTACACAGCTGCTTTTCTGATGTTCAAAAGCAGCAGTGGATTGACTGCAGGCTGCGACAATGCAGCCATACAAACTTACTTGAAAATATCAAAAGCCAGAGGTTAGCAGCAGCTAACTCATGTGATGAGACCTTTCACAGGGGCATTCACAAATTTTGATTAAAAATGGCTAATAGGAATGCTAAGGGATTGAGCCAAGGTTTGAAGAATCAAACCAAGATTTTGGAGGATTGTTCTAAAATAAACTTTGTTCAGGAATTGCAAACTATTGAGGCTATTTTTTAAAGTTTTTATAAGAAATAGTGTAAATCCAAAAATTTCCACTGATAGTCCGTCTGTTTTTTGTATATCTACACCCACTAGCATTTCAAAATCTGTAGTTTTCTGGCACATTTGTGTTTTTGGAAGTGGTGCACTCTCTGCTCCAACTTTTTAAGTCTTCAATCCTTCATTTGGAAACACAATCAGCTAAAGATTAACAACTACCAGGACTCAGTCCATGATGAGGTCTCAAACATAAAGAGACCTAAGACTACAGTGCAATTCCCTAGTAAGTTTGCAGCTGCTTCAACACATTTTGTGAAATAATTGAGTTGGATCAAGGACAAAATTCAGTTGACTTTTTTATTACATTGGGTTCAGAAATTATATGTGACCGAAATCTTGAAACACATAAGAATTTCAAACTATCATATGATGAAGAAAAGAAACAAAACCATATTATCCACTCCAATAGTTAAGGTTGTACTCTGGAACTTGATATGACTGGCATCTCTTTCCTAAAATGCAACCTTCTTCTTTTCAAAGGGAGGCCAGGCAAACACTGACTGAGGTTTGCCACAAACTCAGTTCCCTATTATGCCTTAACAATTGAAAGTACTTTTTATTTCCCTGCATTCTATGGAAATTTCAAGTTCAGACACACACTGGGTGAAAATTTTCTTGCTTAGGATGCCTCACTCAATGCCACCATAAAATGATTCGGTAGATGGCTGTGCATCTCAACCAGTCTCAATCATAGGGTTATCTTCATACCAGAGAGGTCCAAGGAGAGTCTCTGGTATGATACTCGCCAGGCAGGAGATATGATGAAGTGTACTAGAGGTAACCTGGACTATTTATAAAGATTTGCTTGTTAATTGTTTGGAAAAAAAAGCCCCCCATTACTTACTAGATCAAAGTGCCCTAACCTACTCGCACTAACTGTTCCGACTCGGACAGGCAGGGACACTTGGAACGTAACATTTAGAATTCAAATTTGACCAAAAGCTAGGTGCAGAAAATTTGACAGCGTAAATTCAAATACACTCACCAAAATTTGCATGATTGGTTCATGGCAGTCTCCGCCACTCATGATGGTCTGAAACATTTAAGAAAGAATTAAGAAAACAGAACTTTCGCGCATAGAGCCCACAATAATACAATAGTAAATGACTGTTCTAAGTGAATTTTAAGATCAAAAGTTACCTGGAGAGCGCCTTCAGAAAGTTGGTAGCCACCAGTATTCATTTTGAATACAAGGCTCTTGTAGGCTTGTAGAAAAGAGTGAAAGTAGAATTCTTCCGACACACTAACAGACTTCGTGAATTTGATACGGTAAGGAGATTGATGAGGCACAGATTCAAAGAGTAAAATGAGTAAATAGAACTTTAACCCAGCTGATAAAGAACGTTCACAAACTTCTTTCCACAGAGAAAAATGGGTGATTGACAAGTTGACAAGTTTCGACTTGCTCGAAAAGTTGCAACATGAGCTCAGTGTTCCGATATTAAATCCCTAGCGGGGAAGAAAAAAAATCCCTAGATTTCGCTAAAAATCCCTAAATCCCCAGATTTGCTCAAATATCCCCAAAAAATCCCTAGATTTTGCAAAAAACCGCCATTTTTAACGTAGAATCATGACGTCATTCGATATATTGATTTGCAATATTTAAGTCTGATTGGCTCGTTTGAATTTTGCCGCTCTTTGAAAGCAGTGCTAATCCAGACCAATAAAATGAAAGAATATTAGTTGAATGCAGTTGAATGTCAAGTACATCGAGTGCCGCAATCGTTTTAATTTCCGGCTTATTTACGGAGAAAATAGTGTTGCCAAAAAGGCCTACAAAATATAGATGAAAAAATATTTTCGATTGTCGAAGCTAAAATTGAGGTTCAAAAGTCGATTTTTGCTTACTTTCCCTCATCAAAAAAATCCCTAGATTTCCTGAAAAATCCCTAGATCCCTAGAAATTCCGGAAAATCCCTAGATCTAGGGATAAATCCCTAGACATCGGATCACTGCATGAGCTGCTGCTGCTACAGTAAACATAACCTCAAAATACGAAACAATAAAAGTAAAAGGCGGGAACAACGAGAAGCGCGGGAAAGGGAGGGAGGAACGATGGAAGCGGAGCGGTTCAAAGAGAAAACTTTGGTTCTGCCAAAGCTGGCAACGCTGATTTTTCCAATTATTCCTTTTTTCGAACAAAAGGAATTTTAACGGCAAATTCTGAACCAGGCGTTTTGATTGGTTCAGAGCGGTTCATTCCATTTATTCCGAGTTGAACAAAATTAGGCGGGAATTACAAATAATTCCGGATATCCTATTCACCAAATCGTTTCCGTTTCCGGTAAAACAGTGTTGTCAGTTTCACCCAACAAACAAAACTGACAACACTGTTTAACAAGAAACGGAAACGATCAAGTGAACAGGATATCCTGAATTATTTGAAATTCCCGCTTATTTTGGTTCAACTCGGAATAAATGGAATGAACCGCTCTGGACCAATCAAAACGCCTGGTTCAGAATTTGCCGTTAAAATTCCTTTTGTTCGCAAAGAGGAATAATTGGGAAAATGTAGCAATTTGAACCAATGGGAGCCGACTTGTGTTTTGTATCTTTGCTTTGAGGTTATATTTTGAAATTTGACGTTCTGTAAATTTCACGCGTGCATCTTCTAGTCCAGTTTATCTCCTTCTTCCTGATTCTGATTGTAGAAAACATTAATTTTTTTATCTTATCTTATTATGTGGTGGTAAATTATATGCAATCTTCCATTCAGTCTTAATTTCAAATATCTGTAGTAAAATGACAGATTCGGAACCTAAAGTGAAAAAAAGTAAGCTCAGCTCTGGAGATGGTCCGGGGTCTAGTCATGAGGTAAGTGAAGTCATATTGAGCATCATCCACTCTTTAGAATTATTCTTTGGTGGTAATGAGGTTTCACTCCGCTAATTATGCGCTCGATCAGCCTGTTTCGGTAAAAAATACAAGAGCAGAGTCGCAATACTTAGGGCCAGTACATTGGTAGTTTCAGTTTTTGACAGCGCAAGTCCGCAATGATGTATCTTGTTTGCGGTGTTTGAAAATTTCGGCCTCTATACTATTATATTAAAGGATAACAAATTGACATCGTTCCTTGAAGTTTTTGCATAATTTTTTTGGTACAGAGAAGTAAAATCACGACAGTTTTAAGGATTTGCCGTCGAGAAGTTTTCCATATTAAAAATGAAGTATGACAGGATGTGTGCGGCGTTGCAAACCGAAATATGTGGTTGCTGACATACACTGTCATTTTGTTGGAACCCCTGCGACTTTTCAGTGAGAAGAATTGCAAACTAGGTTCTCCTAAATCAGTCTGTGGTCAATGTTAGGCATACCCTGTCAGAATTTTACTCACTGAACCCATTCGCCTCATTTGACGAGTATACTCATCAGCGCGCGCCTGGGACATAGCTCAGTTGACGTGTTAATTTGCGTTATCTGTTGCTGTTGCTGCGCGATTGTTTTCATCATATTTTTTAATTTTTCCAATAGATGGCATCTCAAGCGTAGCAACGTATGTAGGTGGTGTGATTTAACTTGTCAGCGGCCCGATTATTGAAACTATGTCAGCCTGACACGACAAGACATAGCCCTATCTTAACCATGCAATATATCGCAATTCGATGTCTTACCGGGCTGGTTTAAATTTCAATAATCGGTCCGCAGATGAGATATGTCCTAGGCATGCGCAGACAAGTAAACTTGTCCTAGGAGGCGAATGGTTTAAAACTGTACAGGATAGGTAAGAATCCTTACTAATTGATACTGGAAGGGTAGTTTTCATTAGAGCTTCTAAACCTGGTTGGTGAGCGTTTATCTGGGGTCAAGTGTTACTCCCTAGGTGTGAGCATATCTATAGCTGTAGTGCGAATTATGTATCTATATTGCGGTGTTTTAAAATCTCTGCTCCTATCTTATTTTTTAGAAGAGAAAAAAGTCAACTCCAGAAGATAAAATTTCTATGAAATATTCAGGCAATATAGGAGAATAATCAAGGCAGTTTTCATGAAATCATGTTCACTAGTTTTTGTATAAATGAATGAAGTAGGGTAGTCTGCTTAATTGCAAACGGAGATACGAAGTTTTGCACTTTGGCCATCGTTATTGTTGTTTATTAAGTTGATCACTTAAAAATTGGCATCATCATCGCATCTAGTCTAAAGCTGCTATCTTATGAGCAGTCTGACTGTGCAATTAGTGATATTCGCAGGCTGAATAGACAGTCTGTAATGGCTCACTGCTGACCGTACGCTGGCTACATGCAGTGTCAGACTGTACAATTGGACGTATTTCTGCCAAACGGAACTATGTGCATTAAGACATGAACCCTGAGACCCATAAGAATATGTGCATAACAGGGCTCACGTCATAATGCACATAGTTCCGTTTGATAGAATTACGTCCAATTGGGACTGCTCAAGTAAATAGGAGCGTTGGATCAACATAATAACATGGTGGTGTGTGAATGATTTCCAAAGCCTTGATCAATTTCCAATGTGCCCATCTTCGAGCAAACTCTTTTAAGCATAATATAAAAAATGGCACAAAATGAAAATGTTTTCAACAGTTTTAGTGAAGGAGAAACTGCAATTTATATAATCATTTTTCAGTATTGTGGTCTCCTAAGATGCATTTTATTACCAGAGAGTTGAATGGATCTATACTAAGTTTTGTTTTATATGGCTCACATATTGAAAGGCACTGTGTCTGGACTGATTGAAATCTGAAAGATGAAATACCATGAAGAGAGTCCAGTTTCTTCTCTACAATTAGAAATACAGAGAGGACGAGATAATAGTTTGTTTGATGGACTCAAGAATTGTAGATACTCGTAAGTTTGGTTAGTCTCACGGACCTTTTAATTTAGTCACAAGTTTTTGACATTCTTTTTGTCACGTGTCGAACGTACAAGTATTATTTTAAGTAACTAACAATCTTTCAATTTTTTTTTGTTGAAGGAGCAAGAGGTGGTAATTGATTTTGTCGGAAGAAGTCCTGAAGAAGATGATGCAGAGGGTATTACGCAGTTGCTTGTGCCCCTTTTCCACTCTTCCGGGGTCGATCTACCAGAGCTGGTGAAATTGATCATAGAGCAAAAAAATGTGGGTAGTGTGATCAAAGAAGATGAAAGTATAGAGGAAAACCAAAATGAAGATGAGGACGATGAAGATGATGAAGATAATATTTTTGGATTAAATACAGTGCTAGACCTTACTAAAAACAAGGTTTGTTAACTTACTTTAAGGGCCTTCTTGAGACACCCTCCTCTGCCTAAAATCCAAAACCATGCATTTGAATTCCAACATTAGGCATCCCTACTTTATTTTTGGAAGAAAGTGGACTTAACATCATGAACTTAAATTTTTACAGGATAACCAGGATGAAGAACAATCAGAGAAAATTTTAAATCCCATTGTTTTTTGTTTCACGCTTTAAACAAAAGAATCAGCAATAATTTTTTAAACATTCTGAAGATGATTCATAGTTGAGCCACTGTTAAACTATACCTATAAACTCAGGAGTCGTTTAAATCAGAGCAGTTAAATAAACCAGATCTTGATGAGAAAAGGATTGATTTGTTGAGCTTTTATTTCTCAGTAGTCTCGATGAAGCAGTGAACATTTTTTTGCCATAGTTTCATCAACTGTTAATAATCAAGGGTTGGGAAAGAGTATTAAACTGTTTTTTGAGGTAAGAAACAGAGAATTTTAAAATAATTTTCCTCTTGAAATACTGAAAAAGGAGTGTGCCCACCAAATTAATTTATGTCTGAAGTAGGAAAAGATTGCACTGAAGTGTCACAATGGATAAAATCTTTTTTCCTTAGTTCATGCCCTCCTATTCTCCAGTTTTTCTCATTGCAACAAAAATGCTACCTATGAAATGCTTGGGTGATTTTTTTTTACAAAAAAATATGCCTTTGTTCAATTTGTTTTGGAATGTACTTTGAAACTGTGTTGCACGAAGTAATTGGCATGCAGTTGTTTCAAAAATGACAGTTGCCTCATTTGTACATCATATTACTCGATCTCCTCGCATCTGAGGCTATTCTCATCAGATCATTTGCCCCTGAGGAAATGAGTCAGCCTATGAAAGCTCTCTTCGTTGATCTATGACACACCTTTCCTTTCACACTGTGAGTGAACCTCTTGAGATAAGGACTTCATCATTATCTACTCCAGATAGTACTCATTACTTAACAATCCAAGATTGTCGAATACCATAGTTCATCATAGTTTGCAAATATTCAAAGTTAGCTTGAACTCTGAGGATGTCAATTTGAAACCTGCACCATTTAACAAGTTCAAACTTTTGATCGTTATGGCTGATTCCTCTATAATTAAAAATTTTGATAATTTTATTGATATGACTAGAATAATATCTGGTGTCTTATCTCATATAGGAGTCACAGTGCACAAAGCAGTTGAGAAAGTTTATACTATCTTTAGCAAAGGATCATGCTGAAGATTATTCTGCAGTTGAATCGCTTCTGTCAAATGACACATCTGCTCCAGTTGGGCTTATAATTAACGAGAGATTTATCAACATTCCACCTCAGATATCTGTACCATTATTTGATAGTTTAAGGTATGTATTTGCCAATTTTTCTCTTATCTTGTTGACATTTTTAGGAATTTTAAAAGTATATTTTTGGAGGATCAGAAAGGTTTCATTCTCTCATCATCTTTTTGTGTCATGAGTCTGAATTTTTTCACCGTATTTTATGTTTTTTCCTTAAAATTCTGCATCGAAAATGATTTTTCCCACAAGGATTTCTTGAAGTAACTCCAAGCTGAGGTATGAATGTTTTTTGTCAGAGGAGCAAAGTGGTTTTCGAGAATTTGAATGTTCTCTTGAACAAGACTTGAGTCAAGTTGCAGTAACCACTGCAAGAATAAAGTTGTATTTTTGGTAAATTAATTGTGCATTTACAAAACTTTCCATTCTGCTTTGATACAACATACCGATAATGTGTCATATTAGTGAAACTTGTGCATTGAAAAACTCATCAATTACACTAATGGATGATTCAGTCTCAGTGTGCTGTATAGTGTGGAATTTCTTTTTGAAAATTTTGGTAATTTCTTCCTAAATGTAGTTGCACAAAAGTTGGGATAACTGACCTTCTGACTTGCAATTTCGTCTGTGAATGTGTAGTATCATTAACCTGTACATGGGTAAAAATACAATTTTGCTGATTTTGAGCCTGTCGCCAAGGTAACAGCTCATAGTTCACGATAATTTTACAAAAAGCAAGTTCTGTAAAATTGATACCTCCTCCTTCCCTCCCCCCCCTCTTTAGGCTCTATAATGTTAGGTACCAGACATGTGTTTTTTTGGGAGGGTAAACAAATTCATTAAAACGCTCCGAAATATATAGCATGCGTGTTCCATTGGATAATCCTGAATGGACTGCTTGAGAAGATGCAAGTAAGACTTGTGCGTTGATTCATCATTAGCTTTCCTTGGAAATTGTTTTGACTTTCATTTGGTATGCATGATTCTCAGCAGGGATCCTGGATGAGAATAAATCTTTCGAGAATGTGAGGCAGGTTTGTTTTCCAAATATGTGAAGTCTTTTTTGAGTAGTGCGTAAATTGCTAAAACATAGCTACACTTTAAGCCCAACACAATTTCAAGCCTTCTTCCAATTTCAAATACTAGTCATCTGTAAATACTCATTCAATTTTTTCTCTCTTTTCTTCAGCAAGGAAATCAAAGGCTCAGATGAGTTGTCAGATTTTGAACATTTTGTAATGATCTGCAAGATATACAAACCCTCAAAGAGGAAAGTCAAATCCAAACCAGAAAAGGAAGCAAGTGGTATACTGTGGTCAAATGCCGAAGAGGAGCTGATAAATGAGGTGGGTAAAACATTCTCTCTGAAAATATCTAACAACAACAACATGCATTCAAATAGCTTCAGGAGGTTAGAAGGCAAGAACGGATGTCAAATGAATCCAGCCATGTTTTAATGTTTTTCCTCTCGAAATTCTATGGTTCTTGTGTAGAGAGAGTGAAGGCATGAGGAACCCATTTCTGATTGGCTTCTGTCACAAGTTAAATTGGGGCTAGAAACCGTTGCAAAGACTACTTTTCTAGTGGTTGTGAAAGATAACAGTAAGGAATAAAAATGAGAACTAATCTTTTGAAATATTTTTTTTATCTATGATTTATTGATTGCATCAATGGACCGTCACAATAAATAGATCATCTCAAAAGTAAGTTTTTTTACTTTATTTCTCTGCAACTATAATAGCAAATTGGTAAAATCAGTCGTGTAAGTGATATTATCAAGTTTTCAACGAGGTTAAGATTTTCGAAATTGGCCCTCTTGGTACCAAAAAATGACAGTATCTATGGGCATGGGCACACCTCTACGCTCTGCATGCTCAAATAATTCTATCGTTGAATTAGTGTATCTGCAAGAAGTTGATGTGTTACATTCTTCCTTGTGCGATGGCTTATCATTATCGTATCTGTTCTAGAGTATCAATAAATGAACTTCTCCTATAGAATCTGTCTTTATCTGTACAATTAAATCACTTATCTGCATATCAGTCACACCCGAATAGTGAAGCTTTGAAAGTGTCTTAATCATGGAGTTAACACTGGTTTATATTTTGGATTGTAAACTGCGCCCCATCATTCGATTTTTAACAGTCAAAACTAACAGTTAAAATTCATCAAGAATTAGACTCAATTTACTGAAACAGATTAATGAGTAAGGGAATAGCGTCTTGAGGGCAGGAATCTTTCATGAAAGGCTGTGAAAACATTCAGAACAAGTTGCAATGAGGATGTTCAGCTGGTATTATGAATGACACAACCATTGTTGATCCTAAGGATAAAAAATCCCTAGGATGTCAAAGGAGAGCACAATACTTTGTATAAAATAGAGTACTGTCTTCTTCAATCATATTTATTTAAAATTTGAAAAATTAATCCCTTTCTTTATTCAGACTAACTTTTATTCCACAAGTACTATCCACTCCTATAAAGCAACAATTCGGAACTGTGCTGTTAAATTGTAATTTTTCAGTACTTAGGGGGCCAATTTTCAACAAAAAAACTTTTATCAGCTAGAAACTTAAGGATATTGACTATAACAAGAGAAAAAGAGAATATATGGCCTGCAGTCTCTCGGTTTAAGATGAATTCTAAAGACATGAATGTATAATTCAACTTTTGAAATCAAAGAAATTTTGTATAATTGATGCTTTCTCAGAGTCCGTACTTACTCATATCCACTTTCCTTGTTTTATCTCCTTTTTTTTTTGTTCCCAGGAGGCTGAAATTAAATTTGAATACCCTATCAATGATGAAATCGATTCGGCTGTTGGTGGGAGTTGGTTAGAAAAAGATGAAGCAATGATTACTTATCGCAGGTTAATTACTTTTCCGGCTAGTAAGTTAAACAGTATAATTGAAAAAATAAAATCAAGTCTGTCCTATGTCTGTGTATTATTTCCTTTGAATGTTCTGAAAAATTAATTGCAGCTGATGAATTTACTACTATCCTGAGCAAGTGAGACCTAACTCAGTTGATGGCCAGGCTGAGTTAGAACAGAATCATCACAATACAGTAATCTGTATCAAAATTTGACGCACAACACAAAAGACATATTGAACTTCTCAAAATCAATTCACAAGTAATAAATGAGTAATTGGTCTGTTCAGCAATTCAAAAATAAGTATTCTGTTTGTCTAGCAATTCATGAAAGTTTCAATTTTAGTGTGCTTCACAATGTAATGTAATTGATCACTATGTAATGTGAAGCATATTAAAATTGGTGGACCTTCAATGATTTGCCAGACAGACAGAATATTGTTTTTGAATTGCTGAACAAATAGAATACATATTTCTCTCTTATAAGTTGATTTTTGAAATGTGCAATGTGCCTTTTGTGATCTAGGTACGTCAAATTTTTATGGGGATTGATGTATTTTGATAAAAACCTTACATTCATTGTAAATTAATTCATGCACTCATAATTTATACATAGTTGCTAGGTTTCATACAGCATTCCCTCTTCTTTAATTTGTAGGCACAATATGATATTCATGTCTTATGAAGGTGAACTAGCAAACTTTGAAAGTTGTTTAATTGTGAAGCTTTCTGAAATCAAAACTTTATTAATTTGGGTTCTTTGCAAACGCTATGCTTAAATTATTGGACAGACAGAACACTTATTTTTCTCTTGTGAATTGATTTTTGAAATGATTTTTTGGAGAAAAGTGACAAGTTTATCATCTTATTATTTGGATGAAATGAAGCAATTTCCATTTGAACATAGCCTCGCAAAAATATCAATGTATAATAGTGTAGGACCGTAAAATGAGAAGGGGAGCACCGAAAGCATGAGAACAAGCAATCATAAAAACCACCCCAGGCTACACTAAACTACATTACCTAAGTAGGTATTTTAAATCCTCTTAGAGGTATGTTTTGTTGCTTGATGATGTCTCCATTTATACATTGTTCAGTAAATCAAATCTACCTTCCAAAGTGCACTCAAGAAAACACTTTCATCTGCTTGAGACTACTAACTCGGCACTTAAACACTTGTCCTCAAATTGCTGAGAGCCAAACAGTTTGAGCATCCAAAGGCCATAATAAGTGATACGCATAGGCTCTGTGTGGCAAATCAGATCTACCTTTAAAAATGGGCCCAAAGAATGCCGTCCTATCTGCCCAACGTCAGAATCTTGGCAATTTCATTTTCAATTTCAATTTTTTGAAGGGCTTGAGCATAGAATTACACCCAACCTTGTCTCCACATGACGAATTCATCCACGAAGCAATGAAGTTTTGTTGAGTCAAATCGTGAAGAAAAGGCATAAATCAAATTTTTATGAACGAGCAAGTGTGGAAAACAAAGGGATTTAAGCCTTTACCAAATTCTACAACCCATTATGTATTTTAAATATTATTAAAAAGCATTATATTAATGTTCATCAAGACCTTCTGAGCATGATAAGCTTTAAAAATAAAACTTTCGATGTATCAATTTCAAGGAAAGCAACACTGGAAAGTATATTTCTCTGATTTTTTAAACGCATTATTTGATATGAATGTCGCAACATCAGATCAATTATCGAGGGGAGCTTTTCACTCCTAGCTAGCTGGGAAGATGAGACCGAAGAAATTAATCAAATTCTTCCAAATGATAACAGCTTGTGGTGCAGCCGCGGTCCTGCGTAGACCAAAAAATCCGCAAGTAGAAAGGCCAAAACCTCATTCTTTAACCTTGCTCTTCTCAGATTTGGTACTTAAAACGTTCATTTTTTAAGCTTTTCAAGTTCAAGAGATTGGTTACAAACATCATGTGAAATAATAATAAATAGAAAGCGTTGAATTTCTTGGCTTTCTGTGCAGGGTCTGTTTTGAAGAGCCCACTTAGGTTTTTTACAACTGTGTGTATTTTTTACTAAGAAGTTCCTGATCCATTTTTCGGAAGGGGACTACTCTTTTTTTTTTTGACAAGTTGAGTTCTATACCATCTCAGAGGGGACTGATACCCAAGAGTGTATTGTTATTAAAGGAAGTAGGTTGCTCCTCCTGGGAGTGGATCTTTCGAGGTGTTATTTCAATTGTTTTACCATCAATATCCATAATCGGTGTTAGAGGGATGAAGAGAAAGTAGAGAGGGAGGAATTCTATGAAAGAGAGCAACAGAAATGAGAGTTAATTAGAAAAATGAGAAAGCAAAGAATGGAGAAACTGAGAGGTTGAGATGTTTAAGACGTAGCAGTAACAAGCAAAATCATTTTTGTTTTTGTTTTCCGTAGTATTTTATTATTACTTCATGCTTTATGGAGTCAACTTAAATGACAGCTGATTGTTGCCTTTTTAAAAAATTTTTTCGCCTTTTTATTTGCTTTTTTCACAAACTTACTGTAATGTAGCTCCAATTAGCCACCTCATTTAGTAAAGAGAAAATAGGAAAAGATAAAATTTCGCAATGAAAGAAGATCAAAATTTGTAAGTTATGCCTTACATTCAGTTCAGGGAACAAGCGCCATTCAGAAGCAAGACTTGAAAAAAATGCAACAGCAACGTCCAGTAGTCCAGCAGCATCCTGCAGCAGCATCGTCGAATCGATGGCTCAGTAGCAGCACATATAAAAGGGATAAATATGGTAGCGGCAGTATCCCATAAACCAGCAGCAGCGTCCAATGATTCAGTAGCTTGTTTTTGACAGTTTTTCTATGACTTTTAAAGAATTGTTCCTCACATTCTCTACTAAAAAAGTCGTTACTGTGTGATTTCACAAGAAATCTATTCCATGTCGGCGGTTTGAGGACAGAACGCGCAGTTGGAATAAGAAAAACGAAACAGCGTGAAGTTAGAACTCCTTCAATTTTTGGAGTATGCAACGCGGACGTCCATCAAACACTGATAGTTGCATCCAGCGCCGCGTTCTCGCATCTGTTCAGGTCTTTTTACTATTCCGGCCAAGGTATTCACAAGCGCGACGCGACGTTCAAAAAACTCTCGCCGCAATTTTATTTTTTCTCGGAGAAATTGTTAGTTGAATGTGTTTGAAAATTTCACTGCGTTTTCTTTGCGCTGTCAATAAAATTCAGTGAAATTTTCAAACTGATTCAACCACAAATTTCTATGTAAAAAAATAAAATGGCGGCAGGAATTTTTAAAGTCGCACGACGTTAATGAAACTTTGGCCGGAAGGTGACGATATCCTGTATGCTGCCGTGCTAAGGAAGAACGCCGTATAAACCTCCAGGCGTTGCCAAATTTCCTTCGATAAAATGTCTATTTTTTAGGAAAGTTATGAATATTTTCCCTTGAAATTTTCAGGAACTTTAAGTGAAATTGCAAGCAAAAGTATCTGAAAAATTGGAAAGAAAATATTCATAAGTTTACCGGGAAATTCGTGTTTTATCAAAGGAAATTTGGCAACGCCTGGAGGTTTATACGGCGTTTTTCCTTAGCACGGCAGTACTGCCGTGCTAAGGAAAAACGCCGTATGAACCCTCGAGAGTTGCCAAATTTCCTCTGATAAAACGCGAATTTTCTGGTAAATTAATGAACATTTTCCTCCCAATTTTTCAGATGATTTAGTTCGCAATTTTACCCAAAGATTCTGAAAATTTAGACGAAAAATATTCATAATTTTCCTAAAAAATAGACATTTTATCGAAGGAAATTTGGCAACTCTCGAATGTTCATACGGCGTTCTTCCTTAGCACGGCAGAGTATGCAACAGACTCATTCTATCTCTGCTCGGCAACGTAGGTTGTTGAGCTCGACGGTGTACTCTTGGAGTCGTCAAACCTTTTCATGTTGCATATGCCATAGAATTCCCCTCGAAAGATCTTTGATAGCTCCCGGGAACCGTCAAAGCGGTCGCCGCGCGCGCCTTTCGCCTTCCGAAAGGACCCTCACGTCCTAACTAAGCACCTACTCCCACAACATTTTTCCCCCGCTCATTTGAGCACCTCCTCAATGACCTTATTTGGATCCCTCTATAATGTGAGTGATAGATTCTAATTTAAGAGCCGAGAGCATTCGCATCACCACCTCCGTGGCAGCTTCTTGGGTTGTGTTTTCGTGAAAAAGAAGGGTGTCAGTGAACGGTGTCACTCGTGGCTCGTGGGCTTTTTTTTTTTTTTTTGAAAAAGAGAGGTGTCAATGAAAGGATGTTATGCTTGGATTGTGATTTTTTTAAAGAGTTGGGGTCCAAAATTGGTTCCTCCTCAGGGTTGAAAGCGGACTCTCTCTGGATTTCTGTAACAGTGGAAACAAAGAGACTTATACCTAAAAGCAGCTTGAAATGGAAATGACATTCAAAAAACACAGGAAATTCCGGAAACAAGGCTAAAATACAAATATTTTTTATTTTAGCCTCGTTTCCGCACTTATTTGTGTTTTTCGGATTTCTGTAACTATACTCCAGTTTTTAATGGCAGATTGTCTATATCCAACAAAAAGAATTGGTTTCAATCGGTATTGAATCATTTCAGTGAGATTTATTGCCGTAACCACGAGTTTGAAAGTTATCAATGACAATTTTTTCTAGTTTCTCAAGTACTTTAGACCATAACGGACAAACTCACGTCTCTCATAAAACGAAAATTCCACGCTACGGTCTCCTTATTAAGGAGATTTCCTTATGAATCAATAAAAAAAATAATGCTTGTTTACAGAAGAAAAGATGCCTAGGTATATAAAAAGAAAAATCACTTGCATCAAGCACAACCCCGCTTTCATTCGACGCGATTTTACTCTCGACACAAAATAAAATCTCCATGACGGCATACTCAAGAATGTTTCTGCGTAAATCGAGTTACTATGCTCTCTGATGTAATTCAAAAATTATGCTAAACGTTATCAAATTCGAGTGCTAGGACTTGGTGAGTTTTTGGACTAATGCTCTCTTTTTGTGCCGCAGTATCTTGCTTTATTTTGCGAGGAAAGCTCCGTACTCTTAATGGATGCCCATCATTCTTGAAACGTTGAAGCGGCCTCAATTTCGTATGATTCT